CTAATGCAAAGAAAAACTGGTTGCAATATGTATTGTACTAGAAAGACAACTGAAGAACAACCATAATCTTTCTTTCTGGATTAGAGTACACAAAACACAATTACCAGTAACTTTCTAAAGCAACATTCTCCACTGGATGGTGAACACCACTATAGGAAAGTGAGACTTGTAAACAGATACAGTTAAAATTACCAATGTGAGAGAAAAAGGAATGAGATAAACAGAAAGACTAGATGAGTGACATTTCCTTTTCTCTACTCATGAAAGAGCCTATGATCTATGTGAAATTACAGACTAGCCTAAAATACATTGGCTTGTGATTCAGTGTGTTATAATATGAAGTCAGGTAACTGGCTTAATTCAGTTAACTATGGTAGTTAATCATGGTGTAGCATATCGTGCAAGCATAGCACACCTTTCCGTTCTTTTCCTTTTCAGACAATACTCACAAGAAGAGAGACAATTCACAATCCACAATAAGAGTTAGTCTGGAAAACAAAGATTTATAGATTACAATTCTTATTAAATTTAAGCAGCAGCCATGCTGATAAAGTATGAACTTCATTAACTTCTAGAGAACCAGAAGCTATCCAGCCCTAGTTTAGGGAAGTAATAGATCTGTCATGAAAAACTCTTGACTAAAGGGCCCCTGAAAGAATAAGAAAGTTGACATTTGGGGGCATTTCCAAATGTGTACTTTCTGGGTGGTTTACAAAGTCAGTATATTGCCCCAACAATTTGGGTCTTCATTTACCAACCTCGGAAGGATGGAGTCAACCTTCAGCTGGTCAGGATCAAACTCCTGGCAGTGGGCAATGTTAGCTTGCAATACTGTATTCTGACTACTGCGCCACCACGGCTCCTAAACAACATTTTAAACTACAAATAAGCCAGCCACATTTTATTTATTTATTTTATTTATTTATTAAAATTTATAGACCGCCCCACTCCCGCAGGACTCCGGGCGGTTTACAATAAAAACACAACATAACTTAATAAACAAACAATACAATAACATTCATCCAGGGGTCAGATTTTATAAACCCCAGGCCTGCTGGAAAAGCCAGGTCTTAAGCAGCTTGCGGAAAACCAACAAGATGGGAGCGGTTCTAATCTCCGGGTGGAGCTGATTCCAAGACGTGGGTGCCATCACAGAGAAAGCCCTCCCCCACGGCCCCGCCAAATGGCACTGCTTGGCCGACGGGACCTGAAGGAGGCCCAGCCTGTGGGATCTAACCAGACGAAGGGAACTATGAGGTAGTAGGCGGTCTCGCAAATAGCCTGGCCCTGAGCCACATAGAGCTTTAAAGGTAATAACCAACACCTTGAATTGGACCCGGAGACCAATAGGCAACCAGTGCAGCTCACGGAGGATAGGTGTAACGTGGGTGTACTGAGGAGCACCCACTATCACTCGCGCGGCTGCATTCTGGACCAACTGTAGTCTCCGAATACTTTTCAAGGGTAGCCCCATGTAGAGCGCATTGCAGTAGTCCAGACGTGAGGTGACAAGGACATGAGTGACTGTAAGGAGAGCCTCCCGATCCAGGTAGGGTCGCAACTGGTGCAACAGACGAATTTGTGCAAAGGTCCTCCCAGCCACAGCCGTCAAATGATGTTCCAATTTCAGCTGTGGATCAAGGAGGACACCCAAGTTGCGAACCCACTCCGAAGGGGGTATATTTTCCCCTGCTAGAGTCAACACTGGACAGTTAACATGATCCTTGGGAGGCAACATCCAAGGCCACTCGGTCTTGTCAGGATTGAGCCTGAGTCTGTTAACCCCCATCCAGACCCTCACGGCTTCAAGGCAACGGCCCATCACATCAGCCGCTTCACTGAGAGAGCTCGGGGAAGAGATATATAGCTGGGTATCATCAGCATACTGATGAAACCTCACCCCGTGCTGTCTGATGATCTCACCCAGCGGCTTCATGTAAATGTTAAATAGGAGGGGGGAGAGGACCGACCCCTGCAGCACCCCGCATTCAAGGGCCCTCGGGGTTGACCTCTGCCCCCCCCACAGTACCGATTGCGACCGGCCAGAGAGGTAGGAGAACCACCGTAAAACTGTGCCTCCCACTCCCACCCCTCCAAGTCGTCGCAAAAGGATACCATGATCGATGGTATCAAAAGCCGCTGAGAGGTCAAGTAGCACCAAGTCAGAGGAATAACCCCGGGCCCACCAGAGATCATCCATCAGCACGACCAAAGCAGTTTCTGTGCTGAAGCCGGGCCTGAAGCCAGATTGAAAAGGGTCTAGGTAATCCGCTTCATCCAGAGACTGTCGGAGCTGGAGCGCCACCACTCTCTCTACAACCTTCCCCAAAAAGGGGAGATTGGAGACTGGGCGGAAGTTGTTTAAATCAGCCGGGTCCAAGGTGGGCTTCTTGAGAAGGGGCCTCACAACCGCTTCCTTCAAGGGTTGCGAGAAAGACCCCTCTCTCAACAAAGCGTTGATCAGCACCTGGAGCCAGCCTCGTGTCACCTCCTTGGCGGTCGAGACCAACCAGGAAGGACACGGGTCCAATAAACAAGTGGAGGCGCTCATCGCTCCCACCGCTCTGTCAACATCCTCAGTGGTCACAGACTCAAATTCATCCCATAAAACTGGGCTAAGACCTGCCCCGGTCATCTCAGAAGGCCCTGCCCAATTGGAGTCTAGTTTGAGGTTGCACTTTGAAAAGTGTAAATCTGTTTTACACAAACAAAGACAAAGTAGAATGGATATAGTATAGATCTCCTACACTATATGCATGTTTCTTAATGAAATGTACAACTGAAGAAGAAGAACAAGGGTGGGTTACAAGTTCCTCAGGTAATTCTGTTACACATTGGTCCATCAGGATACCACAGTGGATTTGTGTTATAGCACAGCCATCTTCTATCTAATCTCAGACAACACAAAACAAAGGAAAAACCAAGCAGAAAATATAGACATACTATACAGACAATAACTAAGTAGCAGCAAATAATGTTGCTGTGCTCATCTACACTTTGAAGAACAGAAATGCTATGTTGAAGATGAAAAATAAGACCAAATCTCAAACATCAAACATAAATTCTCCCACACTTAATCACAGTCAGATGTAAATAGAAAATGCAAACATTATACGCTCAGATATAAACAAACCACCTTGCCTTGCTTCATTACTGTGTAAATTCAGAGAGTTGCAATTCCAAACATCTTCAGAGCCAAAGTTAAGAAATGTTGTTCTCTAATACCTATTTTCACATCTAATAGTAAAAACAGATTCCATATATTTAGAAGGACAATTAAAGAGAGGTACTGCAAGGATTATAAAAAAAATCATCATCGTGTCACAGCATTTTCACTCTAAAGATATTATGTCAGGTGGTAGTCATTTATCTGTAAAGAAACCTCACTGAACAGATTTGTACTGCTGACTGCTATTCCTCTTACTGTATCTGATATAATATTAGTTGATAGCAACTGCAGAATCAGAAAGCCTAGCAAATATCTGTTTTCAATAAGAAAGCTTCTGATATTTCTGCCATTCTATGATTTTGTACAAATATTTTGTGGTAGCCAACAAAAGCATGCCTTTTCTGAAATAAGTTATTTTTAAATGTGAGGTCAAGCTGAAAGGCTTGAGAAAAGTTTGAGATTTGATTATTTTAAAGAGACAAATTGTGTTAAAATGCATCTCAGATTTTTAAGTATTTACGGAATGTTTATACATGTTCCTATTACCCAGATTTACTGAAATTTTTTAAAAACCCTCAGAAGCAATAATAAAACTGAATATAAAGTATTCTTAATACTACAGTGAATTTCTGTCTCATATTCTTCTTTAGAAAGTTTGCACTTATTAAAATAGCAGTTGTCATTTGAAGAACAATGAGATTTTGTGTTTTTCTGCCACTACGTTCGTATGATACATCGATCTACCAACTAGGAAACTGCTTTAAACGCACCCCATGTGGTTGGTTTATGGTTCACTTTATCATGTGAATTCAGAAAATTGGGTTAAATAACGAATAGCTCAGATAACCAAGCATAAGCATGTCATGCAGGGGTCTTCAAACTTGGCCTTTATGACTTGTGGACTTCAACTCCCAGAATTCCTCAGCCAGCGTGCCTAACTGAGGAATTCTGGGAATTGAAGTCCACAAATCATAAAAGGGCCAAGATTGAAGTCCCCTGACTCATGCAACAAAACTAACATGACAGCTATTTATAGACAGTCAGGAGGAAGTAACAGTATCATAAGCAAAAGGTACCATAATATTTGGAAATACTACTTACCCCAGGAATCAACTTGCCTGGAATTATTTATGTAAGCAAATTATTGAAAATCAACATTTCTATTAGTGATTCCACTGGCCAATAAAAAAATCCTTCTTCAAATGTATTTTTTTTTAAAAGTAGCAACTTTCTTTTTTATCTATAGGCTTTCTTTCTATAGGTAATCTTTCTAATCGTATTCAGATGGGATACCTCAAAAGCATTCTGATGGATACCTCAGTATCATCTGAGAAAAAATTGGATGAGGATTTGTAAAGTGCTTATTGTATTGTATTTTAATCATTGTCATTAAAAAAAACAGTAGCTTTTTTCTATTCTGAGTCAAGAACATCTAATTATTTTACTTATAAGTGTGAACTGTCTAAGAAATTGACTTTGGAAGGGTTAATTCATAATTCTATAATTTTTAAAAAAGCCTAGCGAAAGATGCATATAGGTTAAAATGATCTATTTATAAAAATCTTGCCGCTGCCTTGGACTTTTGCAATGAAACCAAACGAAATACTGTATGGACAAGGTAATATCTTTAGCAAAATAAAAAAGTAAATATCTAAGAATTATGTTTGTTGCCGGGAGGGGGGCAGGGGAGGGAAAGGGGCTTGTTACAAATCTGTTCCGGTCTCTAATAACTGCATTGCGTGTTTGGAGCAAAAATTCAAACAACTCCCAAGCAAAAACTGTGTACGTCTTCACAGTTCCAGAAATCATTGTAATTACTACCACTACTCACTCCATTGTGATTCTTGTACCCTCGTTTCAAAACGCCAGAGCATTTTAGCCCTAACCCAACGTTCCAACTCACGCACATTCCCATATTTGACCCACACTCTCTCCGTCCGTCCCGTGAAATTTGGCCCCCTAAAGTCACCGTACTCACGTGCCTTCGCCGCCGCCGCCGCCGCCGCCTCCAGCTCTCTTTTCCTCTCCTATTGGTCAGAAACCTGATACTTAATCCGGAAGTAAGGGTAAGCTTCTCACTCCACGTGGGAAGAGTCTGGTTGTGTGTTGTTACCGTGGGAACTTTTGCTGAAGGGCTTGTTGAACTTTTGTCGAGTTGCAGTTTTGAATTCCGGGGCATCTGCGGGGATTGGTACGTTTTTTTAATCTCTTTCTCTGCAGATTTCTGGCGAGGCTGAGCTCTGGTTCATCTCTTCCTCTTTTCTCTAGCTATGGCAGAGGGATCGGAGAGCTCGAGGCTTCCTTTGTCAGATAGCGAGAATGAGGACGCTTGGGAGGAAGAGGAGGAGAATGGTGTCGACAATCCCAGCGCCCAGATGGAGGGACCTTCGCAGAGCACCCCCTGCCTTTTCTGCGACAGGTTGGACTTCTTAGGAAAAGAAGTTGGAAAGAACCGCCTTCCTCCTGCCTAACATACGAGTTTTTGCTTGGTCTCCGTTATCTCCTTTCCTTCTCCTTGTCTATGAAGATCTCAGTCATCCAGGTCATGGTTGTCCCAAAGGCATGTTTTCCGGAGGCAACTGGACTTCCTTGTTTTTCTTTGAAGACATTTCGCTTTTCATCCAAGAAGCTTCTTCAGCTCCGACTGGATCCTTTAATTCCCCACCATCCAGTCAGAGCTGAAGAAGCTTCTTGGATGAGAAACGAAACGTCTTCAAAGGAAAAAAACAAAGTCCAGTTGCCTCTGGAAAAAGCACCTTTGGAATTTCCTTCTCCTTGCTTCAGCAAAGAGGCGTATAAAGGGCAGAAAAACAACCCAGCAATTTAAACTGTGCAAGGAAGCTTCGTGTTAAAATGAAAGTCAGCATCTTGACAACCTCCTCCACTCTTAGCAGTGTAACATTTTTCTTAAAAAGACAACCGATGCACATAATCTTTTTTTATTCAGAAGTTGTTTAAGTTAGCAGCCCAGAGTTGCTTAGGATAGCAAGATGGGGGGCATATACATTTAATAAGTAAACGGATACTGAATGTACGCGCCCAACAAAACTCACAAAGTGCATATTTCTGCACTCTTTCCGAGTTCACTTGAAATGTAACAGTCATTACATGGGATTCTGCAGTTGTTTGGCTGATAAAAGCAGGGTTGCAGTCATCTGCTCCAATTTCTTTTGGGGGAAAACCCCTAAACATGACCTTTCCTAGTGAAAGCAATGTAGAGAAAGTAGAGTAGTCCTCGAATTACAACCACAATTGACCCCAGAATTTCTCTTGCTAGGCGAGACATTCGTTAAGGGATTTTGCCCCATTTTACGATCTTTCTTGCCACAGTTGTTGAGTGAATTGTTGTGGTTGTTTAGTTAGTAATAATGGTGGTTAAGTGAGCCTGGCTTCCCCATTGATTTTGCTTGTCAGAATGTCACGTGATCACATGACTGTGGGACCCTGCAACCGTCATAAATGTGAGCCAGTTGCCAAGCATCCGAATTTTGATCACATGACCATGAGGATGTTGCAGTGGTTGTAAATGTGAAAAACAGTCATGTCATTTTTTTCAGTGCCGTTGTAACTTTGGTCACTAAATAAACTGTTGTAAATTGAGGATTACCTGTATACTGAATTGAATGGCCCACTGGTCTGTATCAGAGGCAACAGAAGAGTTGAATACTTCATTCACAGTAGTGCTCAGTCTTCACTACATGTATTTCCTATCTTTTCAGATACTGAATTTCTTTTGCATTTCATCACTGTTAGTTTTCACATCTGACTGCTGTAATCCTTTTGTTCCCAGCCTTGTGCCTTTCTTTTAGGGATATTATTTTTCCCTGTACAGTCTCATGAAATGTTTTTATTTATCATTTCATTTTTTTCACCTGATACTTCAGGAACATATTGCTTATTCTCTAACACATGCTCTGAATTCTGTCTTTCATAGTTCCATCATTAGATATTTGGTTCTATTTCTATGTTATGCTGTTCATACCTACATTTTAAAAGTATAAAAATTGGTCTATATGCATTTTTAAAATACTGCTTTTTTCTAAGATTTTTCAGTTCAGCTGAAGATAGTTTTTGCCACTGTACCTCAGACCACGGGTTCAGTATTGAGATGATGGTTCAAAAACATCGTAAGTTTATTTCCACCTATTGTATGGTTCTTTTTTTACATTTTCAAAAGTTTACTAAACTTAAAGCTACAAAAGGAAAAGAAGAGAAAAATAAAAAGACCAAATGGGAGATAGAGATTTACAAGCATTGTAAAATTAACTTAAAAATTTCTAAATTTATTTTCTGCATATTAGAATAGATTGTATCAATTTAAAGTTTTAAGAATATTAAAATAAATCTGCTAAAAACAAGGCAGGCAATAATTAACTATAATCAATATGACAAATTGTTTTAAATGAAAAAATTACAATAATTTTTGCCCAACAAAAAATTGGCAAATTCAAAACTTAAAGAGATTAAACATTAAAGTCTTATACTATATGAAGGTGAAAAAATAAACTTTTGATATGTTACGTACAGGGCAATAATTGTTTCCATGTTGAATTAAATTGAATATCAGATGTGTTTTTTTAAATATTGATTTTTATGTCGTATGTTCCCAGAACTTAATTTAACCATTTTTCTAGAGAAGAAATTGTTCATAAATTTTAGTGAAAAGAATGGATTCAATAGTCACTTTGGATTTTTTCATATTTGGTGGCAATGTTGTAAAGCTTAACAATTCAGAAGAAATATTGATGTTGGAATATAACAAATTGTAAAGATTAAGTTTTCTTCCCAGCTTTCTATTCTTTTTAACTAAATATTTTTAAATCTGCACAAATTTAAATTTGCACAAAATAAAATATTATCTGCTGGTTATTTAGTGTCTTATTTTCAATTCTTATTGGAATTCTTTGGGATAAAAAAATGGACAAAATGTTCATTTTTACTACTGCAGTTCTTCCTAACCAATAAAGTATCAACTTTATCCATTTTGAAATATCTGCCATTATATTTCTCCAATTCAGGGAATAAATCTGTTAATTTTTGTTAATAAATTCCCAAATATTTAATCCATTTAATAATGTTAAAGCCTGTTATTTATTGTAGGTAGGCTTTTTTCTTATTTATGGTTCTATTGCCATTTCATTTTTTACAAATTGGGCATTTTATTCTTTAGGGAAAATAATTGCCAGGCCTTATTCAGAGTGTTCCCCTTATATAAAACTATTGTCCAGTGTTTGTATGATACTTTATCTTATTTGTTTGTGAAATTCTCTTTATTGGTATGGAGTGTCTTTAGAGAAATTTCATTCTAGAATTTAACAATGACGTATCCGTGTATAAATACCCTTTACAAATTTGTATGTGTGTCTGTGAGTAGAATTTTTAGCATGTTCATGATTGTGGGAAGGATGTCTTACCTTGTTATACAATTTAACACATACTAAATTCATTTTCATTTGTAAAATGAGAATATCAATGAAAATCTAAAGTGAATTAGATTGTTTTTGGGTGAGTAGAATAATAGAATATTTAAGTTGAAATATATGGAAGCATGATGTGAAGAATAAGCAGTTAAAGTGTTGAAATGGCACTTAGGGAAACTCAAGCTTAAGTCCACCTTTACTCCAGAAAATCATTAGGTGACTTTGAACCAGTCATTCTCATTCAACTCAATCTTCCTCATAAACTATTGTGACAAAATAGTAGGATGAGAAACTATGCATATTGCCTGGAAGAAGACTTGCAGGAAAAGTGGGGCAAACACTTTTGTTACCTACCAAAGCCTCTACGTCGCTGATATAATTATTCCAGCAGAGGGAGCATGCCACATTCCCCAACTCTCAGAATATTGGTAAAGACACAAGCCCTTCCTGTGATGGATCCCACAGTCTACAATACTCTGCTACCTCCTTGCAGAGTTGACTGCCTTAAATAGTGTTATTCCCAGAACCTTTAGGAAATAAGTGCTATTGTAATGTTTGAATGTTGGCTACGTTATCCAACATTTATGAATGTATCCATTGTTACCTTTTAAATATTTTAAATATTAATAATCATTTGGGAGTCAGTTTGGTGTAGATTTTAAGCCAGCAAGCTAGAAACTGGAGGAGCTGTGAGTTCTAGTCCTGCCTGAGGCACTTTGCCAGCCTCTCTTAGCCACAGAAGAAGACCATGTTAAGCTATTTCCCAAAATCAGCAGGGATTGGCTCAGACAGTCATCAACATTGACTCAAAGGGGTATGTGCACACATGCACATCAGTTGCTGGTCCAGTCATTATCAGTTGTTTTTCTACTAAGGTTGTTTTATTTTGCTAGATGTAAACTGCTTAAAATTTGCAATTGTAAGTAGTATAAGTCATTACATTAATAAATAAGATATGTTAATTTTTAAGATAAGAGCAAATATAATATTCCATTTAATGTAGCAAACTTGTATTTGTACTGAACTTGACAAAGAAAATCAATACAGAAATAAAATAATGGGAGGAAATATAAAAACACACGAGAGTAAACAGATTAAGATTCTGATAAACATTTCTGTTCTTCTGCTTCTTTCAGGGCTTGATTTCTATGGCTACATTAAGCTAGTAAATTTTATTAGACTGCAAGTAAGTTTCCAAGTATTTTGTAAAGTAGATGTAATTTAAATAATGTTATTTAAATTAGAGAGCGGTGAGAAGAATATATTCTACCTTTGGTATTAGGTCTCTGAGAATGCCACTTGAAGAAATTGTGAGAGTGTAAAAACTAAACCAAATGTGAATGTAAAATCCATTTTTAAAAATTATTTATGGTGGATTATCTTGATGCCTAGAATATTACTTCACTTAAAAACCATAGTTAATTGGGTTAGCTTATAAATACGGTAAATAAGTATGCATAATATTCAAGGCAATCTGGAAGTGTTAGATCACTCTTAACATCATAACTGTAGACCAGTGGTTCTCAACCTTTCTAATGCCGCGACCCCATAATACAGTTCCCCATGTTGTGGTGACCCCCAACCACTTATACATCACCGGGTGCCAGGGGCGTGGCCAAAGAAAAGGGGGAAAAATGGCAGACAGCCTTGTTTGGCGACCCCCGTGAAATGGTCGTTCGACCCCAAATGGGGTCCTGACCCACAGGTTGAGAACCACTGCTGTAGACATTTCTTACCCAAATGAGGACCTCAATGTTCACTGATGTTTATTGTTTCTAGATCTAATTTTAGAGTTACTTATTGTTAGCAACAGCTTGTTGTTAATGTCAAGCAATGGATTTGGAAATGATATATGTTTATGTATATTCTTTGTTAGATGTTTGTTTATTTGTGTCAGAAGCATCACAATTAAAATAAAATAAGGCTCACTAGATGACAAAATTTAAAATATAAAATACAAGATTAATCGTTCTTAGATGACAAGGGTAAAAGTTCGAGTTCAAGTTAGGACTAAAAAAAGATTTTTCTTGGATGGGAAATTAGGAGCATTATATAGGCATGAAAGGTAAGAAATAGATAAAGACTCTTCAGCTATAAAGTAGAGGAAGAATGTATCAGTTGTAGAATTATGCTACAGGTAGTTTATATGTCTAACTTTAAAAACTCCAGTTTGTTATTTGTGTCTATGATTCATTCTTAGAATAGTCTGTCACCTCCATGTTTATTTACTATTTCAGAAGCCAGACGCAGAGTACGTTAATTCTCTTAGACCTCCATTTCCTTGGGATGAAGATAACTATTTGAAGCCTGTAATACAAAATGACTTATTACTACAGTTTGGTAAATTTTCTTTTCATTTTACATTTTTGCAAACTTATAAGGAAATTTTTAATAACTTGAAGCCTTGTCCAAATCAAGTTAGTTTATATTTTCAAACGGGAATAGTAATTATCTGTTCTTTAAACTGTTTGAAAATAGTATGACAAGTTAGCAAATCCCTTTTGGAAGAAAATGTAAATTAGAGGCATTTTGGTGTTATATTGTGATCATTTCCAACATAGATCATTCATTATGGTGACTAAGGCTATTACTGTTTGTGTTCCATAACCAAGCCAGATACAGAGTGAAAATGATTTAAATCAGTTGCATCCAAGACTGCCAGAAATTAACTAATATTGTCTTGATCTTTGCCAAGAATAGAACGTTTGATATGAGGAAAGAATCTTTCTGGACAATGGAAGCTATATTTTATTTTTTCATAAAGAACTTAATATCTCTTCTCTTCAACAGAGACTTATGGAATGTGGTGGCTTCTTGAATGTTTTGGAGAATTTGCATAAGCCAAAGCTGTTGAAGCTCTTATTGATGCATGTAATATTACTTTTTGAATGAAGGGATTGAAATAATGATGCCTGTGTAGGTAAAGATATTCTTAGAGATCCTTTTCTGGATCCTACTTCTGATTTCAGTCTTTGATCTGAGGCAGAATAAATTTATCCTGATAGAAAATTTGTGAGAAGATATAGTAAATGATATGCTGAGCCTACTTGATCTTTCACTTCTTTTTGACCACATGGGCCACAGAATTCTGCTAATTTGTCTTGTGAGTTGGGGATATTCTGTTAAAAATATTTCACTCCTTCAAGGAGGTATGCAAATTGGAAAAATGTGCATAGTCTAAATGGGGTTGCACAAGTAGACCTAATAGATATTTTTCAACTGGTTTATCATTAAAATCAGAGGTTTTCTAATGTCTGCTGAGTTGTATTGCTTATGGATGCTTTGTGATATCATCTGCAGACTAGAATACTCTGTCCCTTGAAATCAATGAGGCACCTATGATTCTGTGTGTTCCATAGCTCTCTTTACATATGGATCCTGAACGAATAATACTCTATGGTGAACTCATACACATCTGTGTTGCACTATGAATCCAGTGGAATTTAGAGCTTATTTTTAAAGCTTATTAATTGCAAATTAGCAAATCCCTTTTGGAAAAAAGAATTTCAAAAATATTGATGTTGATTGATTATCCATCAATACTGTTGTTGTTTTTTACTCCTAGCAAACATATGATAGATTTTGTCCATATATTGACTCTGGCTTGGTGAGTACTGCACAGACAAAAGTAAAACAGACACGCTAATCCTTTGGATTGAGTCCTTTTGAGCTTTGGAACTGGGAAGAAGCAACATAAGAAACTATTTTGACTATTGATTATTTGACTATTTTACCTTTCTTTCGCTGTTTATGAGTTCAGAATATACCCACGGTAATTAAAGTCTTCTTGGCAAATATTCAAACCCAGCTTCTTTTGGGGGCCCTACAGGTCATTTCTTTCTTTGGAAAGATTTCAGCCACGTTTCTGAGAACTATTTTTCAAGCACCTTGTTGGGTTTTGAACAGGTAGCTGGCCTACCTAAAATCCAAACTTTTGCCTGGTTTTCATCTTCTCCTGTTGGCTTAAGCTCTCCTATTTTTCAGCCAGCTTGGCCCCTTTAATTATGATGGATAGCTTTCAGTTTTCCTGATGCCAGGCAACACATGCTAAATTGCAATTTCATGGTTTTTCATGGCCAGCCATCACCTTGATAATCCATGTATGTGCACTAGCTGATCTAAAGCAGAGGGCTATTGACTTAGACCTGCAAGCAAACTTTCCAGCTCTATCCAGAAACACTTTCTTGAGCCACTCTGCACATATCTTAACTATATAATGATCCCAACATTCCTTATCCCTAGCCAGATTCAGTGCCCTTCCAACAGCCGTTGTTAAGGAAGATATGTAAAGTCCCCTTTGAACAAAGACTGTGGTGGAGGAATAATTGAAACAATAATACATGTTATACTGTATTGCCCTTTCTATACAGGTGCTACCAGAAATTTTTACTAAAATCTTTACTAAATATCCTGGTCATTCCGTTCTGTTATACCTTAACATGTTGTTGGATTAGTCTGATTTTATTTCCTTGATCACAGCCTTGTATTATTCTATAGTTTATGCAGCACAGTATAATATTTATTCTAAACCTTTTTAGATATTTTAGAACAATTATATTTTTTTCCTTTTTGATCCTGGTTGTAACTTTTGTGTTTTATCTGCTGGTCAGTGACCGAATAAAGATTGATTGATTGTTGGTAGGATATTGTATTACTGTACTAAGCAAAAATAAGTAAAGAAAATTCACATTATACTCACTCCTCTGAGTTTACATGTTGTGTTATAATGATATGTGGGAACGATCTTGGAAGATAGGAGAAAAAGCTGGAGACTGACAATTGGTGTGTAAAAGATATCTCAACCCAGAGGAGGGATGAAATGGGAAATGTTTCAGAAGGGATCCTAGTTGTGTAACAAGAAAGTAAGAGGGGAAAATATTTTCATTCTTGGAAGATTCTGTTAAAAATAACCTTACAATAAAGACAGAGCTAGTGTTCCTGGCTGTGCTTCTTGTCTGGATTACTCTTCAAAATAAACATATATTTAGGAAGCATGGTCAATATCCATTCTTATTCAAAGTTAAACCATTCCATTCTATATTTGTACAAAATTTGTGTGTTTTATTTGCAGATATAGAAGACCTGCTTGATTCTTCCAATATCTCTTGTCCTAATGGAGTATCTGAGGCTTCATCTCTCCTTGAATGCTTGAAAAATGCTGAGCACAGAACTGAGTTAGCAGAAGTTGCATTGGCCAGAGCCCAAGATGATCTACAGAAAATGAGGTAATCATTTTGAATAATACACTTTTTAGTTCAAAATCTTAGTTGGAAACATCCTTGGCTATATTGTGATAATATAGGAGTATAATATCTAGTGTATTAAAGACAAGAAAATATGAACAATTAGTCACTTTTAATGAATGGATCAATAAGAAGGAAGTAATTTTGTTCCGCAAATTTGGATTCAGCTAAACTAAAACGCAATCTCCTGTTGTTGAAATAATACAATAAAGAAAATAAGCCCAGCAAAAAAGAAATAGCAAGAGATTTATTGGACAGTGAAAAGGGAATGTGGGCTGAATAGCATAATCATCAAGTGGATAAATAGGTAGCTCTAAATAATCATAGTTAGAATGCCTTCATTGAACTGGAGTGTTGTTATGATTAAGTGTTTAAAGGTTCAGCCCTAACACTTTTATTAGTGTTGGAAAAGTGATAGAGAGAAAGCTGCGCACATTTGCAAATGAGGCAAAACTAGATGGATTATCTGGTACCCTAGAAAACAAATGAAATTCACAACAATTTGTATAGGCTAGAGAAATGTCATGAAAGTAATAAATTAAGTTCAACAGAGAGAGATGTGAAGTTGTTCATTTAAGATCAAAGGCACAGATACAGGATTCAGGGAGGATGTCTGGCTTAATTACAGTGCTTATGAAAAGGGTATTTGAACAGCAGTTGATTGCAAAGCTGTATGAATCAGAAATACATCATTAGAAAAAAGTCAATTTAAGGCTCCATTAATATAATTACAATTTTGAAAACAAAAAAAATAATCATTACAATTTATTCTTTGGTGAATTTTCATACTGAGTATATCTAATTCTGGTTGGCACATTTTAAGAAGGATTTGGACAAATGAGAATGATATTATGGAAAGCCAGTGAAGATGATCAGGGGACTAGAAACTAAATCCTGCCAGAGATCAAGAAACTATGACTATGTAATGTTGATAGGACTGAGCAGGATTATAACATGTTCAAATAACTGAATAATATTACTAGAAAGTCAAAACAGGTTCTTCATAATTCACGAATGCATGTTGCTTTAATGGACTTAAGCTATTGAAAGACAGATTCTTATTTAATATTGAAAGAAGCAGGTTAGCAGTAGAAATAATTACCATGGTAATGTCCCTTTCACTGGATGAGTTCAACTGGAGGCTTTAATTTAGATTACTGTCATAAACTATGGATTGGACTTGATGGCCTAAGTAGGGCATTCCATTCTTTCAACTGAGAATTGTTAAATCAATTCCTCCTGTTCTTTTATTTGGCTCAGTCCTGAGACAGGAGTATTTTGAGTCACAAAATTGATTGAAATGTCTATTCTGAAGGCACAGACTGAGCACGACTCTGCACTGTTCTTACCCCTTCATTAGTGGCTAGTGATCCAACTAGAACATACATAGGGTATCGGTAGCTGACCAGACGTTATCCTGTGTATCTGTCAGCAACTCCCATCAGCATGGCCAATTCCCAGGGATGTTGAAATTGATCAATGTTGATAGTGTCATCCAAATATTTTTGTTGTTATAAAAAGTACAGACTGGAACGTCCTAGACAGCTACCCCTAAATCCTGCTTTACAGGAAGAGAATCAGATGCTCAAGGCTGCATCAAAACACATTTAAAATATTTTAGTTAAAATATTTTAGTTATAGGCTAGAAGGGAAGTCAGAAATCATCTTAGAAAGGCATTGGCAAACGTTTCTGTATTTTGCCACAAAAATCACAAGAGTAAGTCCATTTCATTACCAAGAGCTAAGATTTATTTGATGTAGACTTGCCTGTAAAATATTAGAATAGCTTCTGTTCCACATTCTAGTTGCTTTATATGTGGTATTCTGAAATTATAACCATGGTTCTTTCAAATAGTATTTTTGTTTTTTAAAAATAGACTTCTGGATTATTGTGTTCTTAAAATCACTTAGTAAGGAACTGCTATTGCCTTGTAGACTTTTATTGTTTTTGTAGCAGAAAGTGGATGCTGGAAAATTATAGTATTGTTTAAAATGCCTTTAAAATGTTAATTTCTCCACTATTGTGGTCCTGTGACTGTCTTCTACTTTTCTTTATTTTTTGCTATTCCTTGAAAGATTATTATTTTTAAAGGTTGCTAAATTACTTTAAAGTAATTGGACAAAGTTTTTCTAACATCAGCTTGATTATTTGGAGTCTATTCCCTGCTGTTTTATGTTTTCTGAAAGCACCTTTCAAAACATTATCATCTTTATATACATTTTGCTTTACTTCAGCTGGAATTGTGTACCTTTGAGTCATTATTGACTCCTGTTGTCCAGCTGGACTTGTCCCTGCAGTTTTCTTGGCAAGGTTTTACGGAGATAGTTTGCCATTGCCTTCTGCTTCCTAAGCCTGAGAGAGAGTCCTGGCTCAAGGTCACCCAGTTGGCTTTGTGTCTGAGGAAGGACTAGAACTCATAGTGGTAACTGCAAAGGAAACACAATATTTCCATTTTCCCACCACCATCCTGTCAGAACCTATCATTCCCCCCAACTAATCTCAGCTATCAATAACTGTTCTTCCTCTCCCACAGCATCCAATATAACTGATGAAGATTCCAGGATAGGAAGCAAAACATCTTTTTTCCTCAAAAAATCAGTCCAATTGTGTTTTTAAAAATAAAAACCACTTTGGATACATTTGACTAGAACTCGTAGTTTCCCAGTATCTAGCCTAGTGTTTTAACCACTACACCAAATTGACTCTCACAGTTAGAATTGAGTAAGGTTATAGAAACAACCAGATATACCGTAGTTTTTCATGCCCTGGAATGTCAAAAAATACTGAGGTTGAAGCGTTCAAAAGAATTCCAAGCAACTTTCAATGCAGTAGCCAGCAGAGGGAGCTTCAGCATGTGGAAGGCACCAAACAGCACAGTATGCAACCTATATGCTGCCTTTTTATAGTTCTTATACTACTGTATGTCTTGAGGGTATGTTTCAAATTGATTACAGGCAATTTGCACAGGATTTGGTGATGAACACAGAAATCCGAAGTAGCTCATCTGATAGCACGATTGGAAACTTAAAGGAGGATGAGGAAGATGTTTACTTCAGCTCGTACGGGCACTTTGGGATCCATGAAGAAATGCTAAAGGTTAGGAAATTAACAGAAGCATCTCTTATAGTGAGAAAGATGGAAGGGAGGCTGTTTCCCCATACATATACTGCAATACAGCTGCATTTTTAACCCTATCCACACTAGATTGTTAATCCTAGTGAAGCGCAGGTAAAAATGCAAGGAAAAAAGTGAACAAAATAATAAGAGAAAACATACATATAAAAACACAGTTCAAAATCCAAAGGACCATATATAATCTGGCCTGCCCATATGCTGCTTTGGTTCTTTTTCTTCTAAGTTTTACATATCCCCTTCAGTGCGGATAGGAGTTCAGCCATATGATAGCTAATATAGATTTAGGTCTTCCATAAACGCAATAGAAGAAACTCTGGAGGCAATTCTTCTATAATATTTTGATATTAAATAATTGGGGTAATTAGATTAAATTTTGACAGTTGTGCATTTGCTAGCCTTAGGGATTTTATCTACATTAGTGACAGCATTTACATTGTAGCATCTGCTTCTAAGTAAGTGACTAGTACAGGAAAAAAATGGCAAAACAAAGGAACGATCCTATGGATAATATGGATTCACATTCCATGTGAGCCTAGTTTCCCCATAATATTAACCACTCAACCATGATTTATAAATTACAGTGTCTGGATTTCTGTGTCAGACTGAGCTCCAGATGAACAATTAACTGTATAAGTTACAAACTAATCAGTGCCTTGGCTCGGTAAGAGAAGACTGATAAAATATCTTCTTGCTTAAGCAGAGATGGGAACTCTGGGTACCTCCAAATACAGAAGGGTTACAGTACTATTAGGATGAACAGTTTCAAGATTTTCAGACTTGTAGCCTTTACTATAGCCCGAGGTCCAGTGCTTCTACAGCACCATCCATGCTTAGAATTGAGCTCTAAATTCAAAGCTGCATAATATTTGTGATCTTACAGTATATTCTCTTGTCTTTAAAATATGGCATATTTAATAAACAAAATGCTTCTGAAACAATGGTGCTAGAATCAGATAAGTACTGCTGAGTAAAGAGACGGCCTAATATTAATTACCTGGCAGAAGCTAAATTAAGCAGCCTTCTAGATATGCCCAAGGGTAGGAGCACCTGAGTTGTCAAACAGTGAAGCCCATATCATTGCATTGCTGACGAAGAACAGCCAATTCTACATCCTTGTTCTTTGAAATTCTGATGGGAGAGGAATGCAGAGAAGTATTCCTGTGGACTGCAGCAAGTAAGAAGATTCACAAATGAGAGCAGAGTAGTGTGGCTTTTTTTTTAGGTAGGTGGGTTTGAAATTAACTAAAAATGTTCTATTTACATTATTTATCTATAAAATAATAATTTCAAGCTTCTCTCAAATTCTGATCTATCAATCTGAATCCTGAAAGGTACTGATACAGATATGTATGATTAATTCCTAAATGCAAGTTTTGGAATTCACTTTGCTAGCTGCTGCAGGAAATTGTACTTTTGTCCTTTTGATGTTTCATCTAGTGGTGCAGTGTCTGATTTGTATGCAAGGAGAAGTTCTCACTTTTTTTTTTAGTTCTTTTTATATATATATATATATATATATATTTAAACCTGCGTTTGTGAGGAGCTAAAAATAGGATCCCAGGGACTATCTTCGTTTGCTGATTGGTTCTCCAGCCATTTACACAGATAGTAAAGCATATGATTTCCTGGCAGTTTGTCTTTCTGCCCACATTTATTAAAGGGAATGATGTTAGTTGCTAAACAGTTTACAGAGTCAGCTCTAACACAGGGTATTACATCTGTTCAAGTGTACAAACTGGAAAACTACCGTACTTTGCACACTGTAGAGTGGCTTGCACAGCTTCTATGAGTTACTTAGTTTTGTACCTTTTTAGCTTTATACATGTGAACTTCAGCAAAAGCTGAAATAAGTAAGTGGGTAGGTGTGCATCCTGAATATCAAATTAAGACTAGTATTTTATTGCTTTTACAACATTATACTACCGTGCTTGAAAAATTAGAGAAAGTCAATAAAAAAGAAGATATGTGTATTATTTCCTTACAAGCAAAGGATAAATAATTATCCTAGTATTTTTCACATTTCACTTAGGTCTGATAATTTTGTTGCTGTTGTCTAAAAAACTGTATTAGAAATTCTGTAATACTTATTAAAATACATTTTTTTTTTGTCAAATTCCAATGCCTGGTCATACTTAAAATATTGCTTTTGTTAGATGAGTTAACTGCTAGGTGATGAACTTTTGATATAACTATCATTGGACAATGAATAGTAGCCAGTGCTCAGAATACTTTTTTTTAATAGGATAAAGCACGTACTGAAAGCTATCGTGACTTCATATATCTAAACCCACACATCTTTAGAGATAAGGTAAGTGAGCTGGCTTTAAAACTGTTAATGTATTTGTAGCATGTGATGCACTAAGGTAATAAAAGTCTCCTGGATTGGATTCCTTCTACAATTGGGGTACTGAATCTTTTTGACAAGGCTTTGATTGAATATACTAAAGTCCTATTACATGGAGAGCATTATTCAGCTACAGGAGGGTGCAGAATACTGATAAGAGAAATGCTGATCAGCATTGTCATTGTTCAGTGTGCTCTTGTGAGTATTCATTAATTTTGATGACAAGGTTTTGTCAAACCTTTTCTTGTTTGCTCTTCTTAAGTGATATCTGAAATAAGTGTGTGAACACTTACCATTCTAAAAATCTATCACAAGTGAATTTTTAACCTGTGTGTGGTATGATAAAAGTTTCATGAAGCCCCAGAGGTACTAGTTTCTGGAAGAGTCCAGATTCCAGTTTTGGTTTGAGTGAAATCCATATAAAAAATTCCTTCCTGGTAAGTTTATAAAAAATATTATTAGCAAGTTCTGCCTTTGTATGGGACTAAATCCGACTTCTATATGAAGAATTAAGGAGAAATTTCCTGACAGTGAGAATAATTAATAGTGGAATGGCCTGCCTTTGGTAGCTGTGCGTGCTCCAACACTAGTGGCTCTTAAGAGGAGACTGGACAGCCACTTGTCTGGGATGGTATAGGGCAGGGGTAGGTAACCTTGGCTCTTTTATGACTCGTGGACTTCAACTCCCAGAATAACTGAGCCAGTTGTGCTGGCTAAGGAATTCTGGGAGTTGAAGTCCACGAGTCATAAAAGAGCCAAGGTTGCCGACCCCTGGTTTAGGGTGTCCTGCTTGGGGAGGAGGTTGAACTATGGTAGAAGACCTTTAAGATCCCTTCCAACTCTGTTATTCTTTATTCTGTAAATTATGGAATAAGAGTAAACAATATGAAAGGAAGATCCAGTCAGTACATGCCATTGCATAGTCATATTAATATTCATATCATCCTTTGCCTCTGGAAGGATCCTTTTTCACATTGATTAGTTCTTGATCAAAAATGCATATTTAGGAATTTCCTTCAATAAAAGTATATCTTCTTCCATACATTATTTATTTTATTTTCTGGCAGGAATTTTTACCTTTGAGGTTGCAGTTAACATGTTTTTTTATTTTTTTAAACTCTGCTAACAAAGCATATTCTGGGGGACTTTTCTTTAATATAATTATGTTAAGTGTATAATCTAGACTCTTTCTGTTGAGCAAAAAGGAATATTAATCCTAATCTTGTGAGTGCCACTTCTATGATATAAGGAATAGTTTTTATTTTTGTCTTGGAGCTAGAGAACAGGTAGAAAATATTTCTGTATTTGCATAATGAAGAATTCTTTATACCAATTCTTTATACCTTTATACCAATTCTTTATACCTTGATATTTATGGGAAACACTTGTAGCATTTAATTCATAATAAAAATATGTTGTCTTAAGGTCCAAAATGTTGAATATGTGCAGAAAAGCAGTTCTGCTTGTGGAAGGTAGTCCCATCAAATTCTTCCAATTTTTACTTTCTCCAGGACACATGGTTTTCTAGAATGCTGGGAGGTACACTTCTAACAGGTCTCTTTTGGTTCTTCGGTTAAACCTACACTGTATATTTATTTTATTTATTGTTATCCTGCCTTTATTCCTTTATAAATAACTCAAGGCAGCAAACATACCTAATACTTCTTCCTACTCTTGTTTTCCCCACAATAGCAACCCTGTGAGGTGAAACATGGATAACCTTGGACATAGCAAGTGGAATAGGACTATCTGCTGTTATAGACCATTTTTTGTTAACTTGGAACAAATATTGTTTTGCCTTGATATTATTCATAAGCAATTACCCATGCATGCTTAAATGGAGAAAGGCAATGATGGCTGAGGTTCACACATCTTAAAATGTGGTGGCAGTGGTTACAATGCAGTATTGCAGGCTAACTCTGTCTATAGCCAGCAGTTCGATCCAAATTAGCTCAAGTTGACGGCCTTCCATCCTTCTGAGATCGGTAAAATGAGGACTCGGGTTATTGGAGGCAATATGCTGACACTGTGAACTGCTCAGAGGAATACTGGAATAGTTATAGGACAGCTGTAGTCATAACTGATAATCTGGATTTTTAAAGAGAACATTGTCTGAAAAATTGTTTTAGGAATGGAATCATTTACTGTAATTAGGGGCAGATAGGATATTGATTAGGCTATAGTTTTCAACCTTTGGGCTTTTTTTTTTTTTTTTTTATTAAAAGTTTTATAAGTTTTACAAAAAAGAAAAAAGAATACAAAACAAGAGACAACATATACAAAAAAATAAAACTAAACAATACATATATAAAAAAAAAATAAACCCCCCCCCACCCCTCCCAAAACCCCCCCCCTCCCTTCCCCCCCCCTGAGCTTCCCAGAGCAGAATATAGGCTTAAAAAGTAAAAATAAAAATTAAATTAAAAACTTTATATTTATATATATAAAAAGATTATCTATAATATATATAAAAATAAAACTTATGAAAAAACTATATAATATTTTTGTATACCCAATCTAAATTGTATAAATTTTATCCATTTATCCCAAACAGCAAAAAACTTCTCTTGCGTTTGTTGCTTTAAGAAAGCCGAGATCTTTGCCATTTCCGCCAGATAAGCTACTTTAAGAAACCATTCCTGCAATGTAGGCAAGGATTCCTTCTTCCAATATTGTCCTACTAACAGCCTAGCGGCTGTAATCAAATTTAACATCAATACAACCTCCTTTGTATCACAATCTGTAACAATACCTAACAAAAATAATTGGGGAGTAAATTTTACCCTCCTTCTAAAAATTCTCTGGATATTCCACCATATTTTGATCCAAAATGCTTTTATCTCTCTGCATGACCACCAAATATGATAATAGGAAGCCTCCTTATAACCACATCTCCAACATTTGGGTTGCACGTCAGGGTACATATAAGACATTTTTTGTGGATCAAGATGCCATCTATAAAACATTTTATAAAAATTCTCCCTTAAGTTCTGTGCTTGTGTAAATTTGACATTTCTCACCCAAATATTTTCCCAGGTGTCCAATGAGACTGGCTCACCAAAATTCTGCGCCCATCTTATCATACAATCTTTAATTATTTCCGTTTCTGAATCCAATTCAACTAAAACCGCATAAATTCTCTTAATGTGGGTTTGTCTTGAATCCTTCACTTGCTTAATAAGATTTTCATCTTCTCTAAGAAAACCCACCTTACAATCCATCGTCCATCTGTCTAGTAATTGCCTATATTGGAACCAAGAATAAATAAAGTTTTCTTGTGCTAACTCTTCCCGTGATTTTAGTTGCCAGTTTTGTCCATCCCATTTAAGTAACTGTCTATAAGACATCATATCCATTTTAACCCCTCTTTTTATTGCTTCTATCGCATGCCAAGGTATAGCCCATAATGGTACTTTGAAATCACTTTTATAATATTTTCTCCAAATCCTAAGTAAAGAGATTCTTAAGATATGAGATTTAAAAGCCCAATCCATTTTTTATTGAATATTAAATAGGCATGCCACCCATAAAGTAAGTCCCATCCCTCTAGATAAAGTATCTCAGAGTTTGTCAAATTTACCCAATCGCTGATTAGTGTTAAAACCACCGCATCATAATATAATTTCAAATTTGGTACCTTGAGTCCACCCCTCTCACGGAAGTCTTGCATAATTTTTAACTTAACCCTTGGTTTTTTCCCTGCCCAAATAAATTTATTGAGACCCTTCTGCCACTCATTTAAATTAATCTCATTTTTCAAAATTGGTAACATTTGAAACAGAAAAAGAAACTTGGGTAAAATATTCATTTTTATCACTGCAATTCTTCCCATGAGGGATAATTGCAACTTTTCCCAGTTCTTCACGTCCTTCTGTACCCTGACCCACAACCTTTCATAATTATTTTTAAATAATTTTACATTAGAAACAGACAACATCACCCCCAAATATTTTACCTTATTAACAATCTCAAAACCCGTCAGGGTAGTCAAAATCTGCTTCTCCTGACTAGACATATTTTTAGGTAAAATTTTGGTCTTATTTACATTAATCTTGAAACCCGAGACCAAGCCATAATGATGAATCAACTGTAATAAGTTTACTACATAATAATCAGGTTGCGACAAAGTAACAACCAAGTCATCCGCAAAAGCTCTTAACTTATATTCTTTTTTATTAACATATATTCCTTTAATTTCCTGAGACTCTCGAATTTTGATCAATAATATTTCCAATGTTAAAACAAACAACAATGGCGATAAAGGACACCCCTGTCTAGTACCTTTTTCTATTGTGAAAACCTCCGAAGGACCTCCATTAACAATAAGTTGTGCTGTTTGTTTTTGATATATTACCTTAAGGGCTTGTAATATGTTTTCACCAAAATTCATTTCTTCCATTACTCTTAGCATAAAATGCCAATTCAATTGGTCAAATGCTTTTTCAGCATCTAAAAATATGAGCCCTGCAGAAACTTGGTTGTTCTTATCTAAGTATTCTAATAGATTAATAATTTGTCTAACATTGTTTTTCATATACCTTCCTGTTATAAACCCTGATTGATCTTTATGCACAAGATGATGCACCACCCTCATAAGCCTATTTACCAAAACCTTTGGGCTTTTGAAAGTTTAATTTAGAATAATCAAAAATAGTACTTGAAAAGGACAAGAAAACCCAGCAATAAATGTTTGTGGAAGAAAAATGCTGAGTTTGATTGTGGCAAAGACCACAAATTCACAGGCAGATCATTCAAAAACAGGTATTTTCTTAATTTTTAACATGTTTCTGCCAAGTAAGTTGTTGGATTTGTGGATTCTTGCTTTTAAAAAAAACTCTATAAGGTGGGATTGAAATCTGCTACTCTGCTTGATTCTATATAATGGATATTATAAAATAGCTGACAATATTTCAAAATATTGCAGCATTTCTTCAGCTCCTAATTGGTTTTATATTTTTTGTTCAAATAGATTTTTTCTTTAATTCTATTTTCTTAAAACTGTCACTGCTCCAGTTTCTGCTGGTGTTGGGAGAGCTAAAGTACTAATTTTGAAAACTGCATTTAGACATGTATACTTATTATTGATACAAAACTCTGTCCTGCTAGCATGGAAATTGGATAGATTTATTAAAATGGCCTCAGTCCTTCGAATTGTTCATATTTTACTATGTTCACATCTTAACATAAGATCTAAATATGCCTTCCATGCTCCTGTGAATCTGCTGAATTTGTGTGTACTTAATTTTAGTCGGTAGAATCTGAAGAAATTTATTTATATGTTTAAATGATTTATGTAGCAGCTCATCTCACAATGGTTATTTGGGTTGGCTTACAAAGGTTAACAGAACTACTACAACAGATAACCCAAATGCAGATTGTAGAGGCATTTGTAGAGATTCATCAAGTGTAGATGTATCATAAATCAGTGCCTCAATCATAATTATTCAGTGATTGAGGAAGTTGTAGAACTTAAGTATTTGTCTGCATACAACTTCCCTTGTTCAATGACACATTGAAAAGCAAAAGGTAAGTCCATAGAGTTACAGTTCATCACCATCATGATCATTAGCATAATACAGATGAAGGAAATACTTCATTTATAGCTTATATGGCTAGAGTAGGGGTGTCAAACTCGCAACGTCACGTGATGTCGCTCAACGTATCGGGCCGATTTTACCATTGCCGGCAATGGGGTGGGCGCGGCTTTCAAATGACGCGTCCGGTCTACAGGCTGGCAGTTTGACACCCCTGGGCTAGAGAGTTATCTAAAATTTCCATATATTAAAAAATTAAATATCTTAAGTCCATATAAGTACTTAATAAACATAGCACATTTCAAACCCACCTCATTATTGTGTAGAATGAGTTCATTTTAAAGTGAAAATCTTTTAATTTATTTCAAGAAATGAACAATTTTTACTGCCATGCCAACATTTAAAATATTCTTTGCAAGGGGAGAGATGCATTTTCTCTATGGTTCTGCTGGCTGTCATATAATTTAATCGGTATAAATAAGAAGAAATATAATTGTGGAAACATTTTCTTTACAGTTAGCATTTTTTTTAAGATAATGAACAGATATGAGATCCAGCTTTGCCAAAAAAAAAAAAAAAAGGCAAGGGTCTGCTTCCATTCCATGTTGCTATGGTGGAAGCTCATTGTTTTAACTCCTTCTGATAAGTATTTGGAACATCAATCAGAGAAGCTTGAAAAGAAAGTTTAGATACTATGGTGGCTAAAATATAGGACAGAGGTCTTCAAACCTGGCCCTTTTATGACTTGTGGACTTCAACTCCCAGAATTCCTCAGCCAGGCACATTAGCTAAGGGATTCTGGGAGTTGAAGTCCACAAGTCATGAAAAGGCCAAGTTTGAAGACCCCTGGTATAGGAAGATTTGCTTTTCAGTTACCTTAAGTTGCCTTTCGGTTAATATTAATACTATCCTTTTCAAGCACATGTGCTACTTTGTCTTTTGGGTCCATAGTATTTTATCCATATCTATTCATTTTGTAAAAGGGGGTATTTTGTTTTTTAATCGCTCTCTTTCTGCACTAAAATTGTTTATTAGGAAAGGAGCTTTGCACTTGTGGGTTTGATCATGCCCATCTGGCTGCTAGAGAAAGTTCAGGAAAATGAGTGTAGGATTTTGTAAATGCATCCTGCAGGAAGGGGAGATGTCAGTGTCATTGAAGAGAGCATTTGATTTCCCCTCCTTAAAAGGGTTACTATGGACCCAGCTGAATTGAATAATTGTTGTCCAGCCTTTGGGGAAAATTTATGGAGATGGTAGGATGTTAGCTACAAAACATCCCTGAAGAAACATTATCTGGATCTTTTTCAGTCAGGGGTCATGCCTGGGGATGATGGAAAGTGCATTGGTCACTCTTGCTGAGTTTTGACAGGGCTTAAAAATTCTGCTAGCTCTTTCAGCAGCTTTTGATACCAGTTTGGTCCATTGGTTAAAGTACCAGACTAGAAAGCAGGAGACTGGGGGTTCAACTCTCACCTTAACCATTAAAGGTAGCTGGCTGACCTTGGGGCAGTCATACTCTCTCACCTCACATGGTTGCTGTTGTGGGGAAAATACAAGGAAAAAGTAACATTAGACATGTTTCCCATTTGCAATCTTCTCTGCCAGCTTCCCCAGAAAGTCAACGGAGGAGCCAGCAAGGAAGTTGCCGCACAACTGAGATTCCCTCCTAATGTCATGGTTCCGACAGATGAAACTCTTCAAAAGAACTTTGAGGCATTGTTTACCTTAAAGAATCTTTATTTTGAGTAGCATAACATCAGCACTGCAAAATCGAAGCCAAAAACTGAATTCCCCTCCCCTGAGCACATAGTATCAAAGCACAATTCCCTCCTCCAATTAACAGTCATAAATCACATTCCCCAATTACCTTGAAGCATGGACTTCCTCTCCAGTTCTCCAGCCACCAATTCCTTATCAGCTCTGGTTAAAATAACCTTGTTTCTCAAGCTAGGTTTAGCTTGTTATGTCTAGCTGGACTCTTCTTCACATTCCCTCTCCCAGCACCATCTAATTCTAAAAGCAAAAGGTAAAAGATGGCTGCATTTCCATCTGTTGTCTATGCAAAAACTTCCGATGTTAGCAGCGTTGACACCTGGCAGGCAGGACTTTGAGAGCCAAAGGGTTTGGGTTTGCATGTAGCTGGTATCCCTCCCCAAAAGAAAAGGGCTGCTTGCTGAGGAGAGGGGAACTCCTCTGGCAGGCTGCAGAAATGGGGGACAAATCTGATCTCTGTTCCTGCAGCCTTTCAGAGGAAGTCCCTTATGCCCACAAGAGTTTATTATAGCTTCCCAAACAAATCCATTTCATATTTTCCTTTCTTCTTGCAGACAATTCTCTTTTCATTTCTTCGGCTTAAAAGTTATTGCAAAATCTCTGGTTTTGTTTTTAGTTATGAACTAAGAATAAAATAAAGCCTCCTTCAGCTTCTAGCTTGTTAGGAGAATGATAAACCATGAATGATTCTACAGTAAATTTTTGCTTTTTGACTTTTTATTGCCTGATTTCGTTGTTATTAGTGACAGAGACTAATGTGGAGCATGCATGGTTATTATCATGAAGCCAGAATTCTATTTGTGTTTTGTAATGGTTTTGATCAGTAAGAAACAGGCTCCTGGCCAACCAGCAGATCCTACTGGCCAACCCACTACCTGATCTTTCCACTTTCATCTCCTTCTCTTTCTTCTCTCAAATCTCTAATGTCCATTTCTTTTTTCTGATCTTTTCTTTCCACTTCTGCTCAAAATAACATTATTTTGGTCCATGTTCCAAACAAAACAGCACTGCTTTATTTGATATTTGGACCAAAACATTCAAAATGCATGTTTTAGTTCAGGTACCAATCAACTCAGTACGGCTTATGCACTGTTTCCCCTCCCCCCTTTTCTCCAGAATGCAGATAACCCTTCACTGGATGTGTTCAAAGAGTGGTTAGACAACCATTTTCCTGGGATTCTTTAACTTGGATTCCCATGCTGAGCAGGAAGTTGGACTTGATGGCTTAAATGTGGTTCTAAGTGTTTCTTGCCTCTGGTCTATTGGCAAGCAATTTTGTTGAAGGCTGTCAGATGTCCTGGCACTGCTGGTTGTTGTGAATATCTCAGAATTGCAACATGAGTTCAGGAGTGCCAAATGTTTTTGTTCTGCATCTGAAGAGGGGTGGGTTTTTTTGTGGGCTGAGGAGACATATGCTTATAACAGTAAGACGGGTTCTCAACCTTGGCAACTTTTACGACTTGTGGATTTCAACTCCCAGAATTCTTCAGCCAGCAAACCTGGCTGAGGAATTCTAGGAGTTGAAGTCCACAAGTCTTAAAGTTGCCAAGGTTGAGGACTTCTGCAGTAAGACATTAAATGGTTTTTAATCAAGACTCTAAATGCTGAAGACTTTCAGTGTATCTTTTAACAACTTCAGAATTTTCAAGTTTTATATTTTAGAACTCATTTCTGTTCGAGAAGACATTAACATTGAGTATGCATAACTAGATTTTTGGTTACAGATATTATTTAGTAACATCATTCAATGTCTTCATCATTATTTGTAACCGTTATCCCATTGCAATAACTTGCTTTTTTTCTTTGTATTTTATTAGATTGTCCTAGATGTTGGATGTGGCACTGGAATCCTTTCCATGTTTGCTGCCAAAGCAGGTGCAAAAAAGGTGATAGGAGTGGATCAATCTGAAATCATTTATCAAGCCATGGACATCATTAGGTAGGCACCCTTCACAAATTTGACTTCATTAAAATAAATGATAATGCTTAAAGAGAAGGGACTTTGAAGGGACTTTAGTCATATCAGACCTATTTTTGTTCCAAGACTAGGCACTAAATGGAAGCCAGGTATTCTTGGGCTTCTAATAAAGACCTGTGACCTGTAAGCAGGCCATGTTTTACTTTTTTATTTTCTGCAGGATAAAATTATAACTGTGTTGTTCAAAAAGGTCAGTGTTATAAATGTTCAGGGAATAATCCTCCTATAATGCATCATTTTATTTGCAAGCAACGGGGAACAGAAGTACTCACTTGGTTGGTTTATTTATTTTTTTGAAAGCAGTAGTTCCCCACTATTGTCACTATGATTTTTACAGATGGGGAATCATTTGATTTATTATTTGCAAGAATATGTTAAGTCATATATCAAAAGCAAAATGTCTGCTGTATGGAGTATGGAATGAAGAAATAGTGGATGCTGTTTCCTTGTGTCGGTTTCAACTTATTTCTCGGAAAAAAGTGGAGGGGTATCAATACATTTGGCTGTATCTGTATTTTTGGTTTATTTTACATTTAACAGATGTTATCAAGTTTAAGACTGTCACAACCACTAAACTCTCAGCTGTTATAAGAGTAAAATAGCTATTTAAAATACATTCTTGAAAAGTCTAAAACAACTATAAAACCAATTTTTAATAATTTATTATATATCAATCAAAAATCAGATTAAGCATTCTATCATTTCACATAAGGCCCCCAAATACTTAAGTTTCCAAAATTTTCATAGTGTTTAAAGAATAGTAGCCAGTATAATTTCGGTGGGGAGTCCTCTCCCTTCATACTTTATGGAACTGAGGGATCACATACAGTTTCTCTCAAGATGCACGTGTTGGGCAAGTCAATTCTGGTTTGAGAAAATCTTGCAGCTAATTCATTGCCAAATCACATATCAGTGATGGAACGATAGGAGTTTATAGGCTATGATGAACACTTTAAATTGCACTGAGAATCTGATAGGAAGCTGGTAAAAGTGAACAGACCCTTGCTGAAAGACCACAGGGTTACTACATTCTGGATTAGTTGATCTTCAGAGGCAGGTACAAATATACAATCAGGGTCAGTCCTGGGACACATATATTTGCCTTTATTTGTGAGGTACCAGTATACAGGTAGTCCTCGAGTTACGAGTGTAATGGAGTCTGCTCATTCCACTCGTAATTTGAAAACTTGTAGAGTGAATCTTGTGCCTCGAACGAGATCACTCCCTTGCTCATTAAAACGCATGCAGCGGGGATTACATGTTGTCAATGCTGCAAATACTGTATATTCTTGCTTTGACAATATGCAAAACTGTCTGGCATTTATTGGGTTAATACTTAGCTTAGACTGAGCGGGGACAAAGCCCGGGAAAGAAAGAGGAAGTAAACGTTTGACCTTCTCACTAATTGGATAATGTGACCTGTGACTGCATGAGAAGGGAGGGGTTGAGCAAGGAAAGCTTGATGCCAGCGACAGGAAGTTCAGATTCTGGCATAACCAGTCCAACATGGTGACCGGCAAAAATTGTAGCTCTGCAAATAAAGACTTTAGGAAACATGCCTGAAAGTTCTTTGAAGTGCTTCATTAGTCGGAACTTGTGACACATGTAGTACATAAAGAGAGTGAATACTTGACTGACATCTCCACCTGCATAAATTAGAACTGCCTGATAAGGTAGAAATGGTAAAATAGTGCCCCAGTTTTCCAACTTCAGAAGCATTCTAGAAAAATACCATAGTCAATTGTATCAAGGCCAATGAGACCTCTAAAAGAATAGGGATATTCTACCTCCATCCAGGTCCCAACAGAGGTCAACCACAAGAGTGATTAATGCTGTCCCACTTTGAAACAAGTCTAAATAATCTCTCTTTAGAGTGCTCCCACAATGACTCCAGTCTCAGTAACCTTCCCAAGAAAATGAAGGTTAGAAACAAGATAATAATTATTAAAAATTGCTAGGTTCAGGAAGAAGCAGGCCATAGAGAACTAGATGACCTTGGAGAAGAAATATAGCAATTGACCAAAGAAACGTTAGCTGAAGGGCAAACTGTATCTTCTTTCAGAGTTGCAAATATCCTCCAAAAACGAAGCACTGATCATCTGGAGTTGACTGTTGCCCTTTTCCTGCTCTCTGAAAGAGTTGGGGTGGGGGCATGGATCCAAACTGTAGATGGCTGAGGACATATTAGAGAGAACCATATTACTTCTTTACACTCCAGTAGCCAAAACGAATCCCAGGTAAAATGACAAAATACTATCCCAGTCACACACATTGAACTCTGCCTATGAAGAGTCGAGATGGGTAAATCTGAGTGACTTTATCCACACAAAGCTGCACACTCATTGCAGCAACCAGGTAGGAGTCTATGCGAGACCCTCTTCCCAAAGGACTACCCTAAACAATGCCACTGCCTGTCAGTTCATTGAAAGAGGAAAAAAGTGTGTGCTTCTCCTGTCTTATTGCCACAGTGGAGGCTTGAATTTGAGTTTGCTTCTCCATGCTTGGCCAAGTGAGCTTCTTGTCTTCCTTCATTAGTGCAGTCAATCGTGATTTATTGCTTCATCTCCTGGAGCTTCTCAGTAAACAAAAGACACATTTCAAAGTGAAATATACAAAGAGAGACCATTCAGGAACAATTTCATCAAGTGACCAGACCACCTCTATATTAGCAAGCAGCCAGGTGCTCAATGGAACTGCTGGTAAGATTGTCGGGAACCTCCTCAAGTATTGGTGGAATCCATTTGGATTTCATTTCTTTTGTTTCAGTTGGTGTTTGGGGAGTGTCAAAGATAGACCTAATGCCCAGGGAAACCCAGAATTAAATGAGAAGATGAGAAAATAACATTACTCTTGATTGGATGCCAGTAATTATTTTCAATGTAAATATTGCCAGAGAATCCTAATTTGGTTAATATTTTATAGTTAGTATGGAATTACTGAGTTCATGAAGCTTTTCATTGCTGTTTATCCTCTAAAATGCTAAAATTATAATGAGGTTACTGACTTCTGTTGCACATCAGATGTAAGGTGATTGTACTATAATAAGTGTTTAAGAAAGAATATAGATAATCATTGTGCCGGAGAAATAAATCCCAGTGGTGTGAATAATTACACTGCCCTGTCTAGTATTAGCTGTCGTAACATGGCAAAAGAAAGAAAGATTGATAAGTTGTGCTTCAGAGAAAGTGCTATTAATCTTGAGTAATTTAATCTTGAGTTTCCTTGCACATATTTTTATTTAAAATATGAAAAAGGATATCCATAAAGGAAATTGAAATTACACCATCATGCTTCAGCTAAAATACTGCTGTTAACTAGGATGATTGTTTTCACAAACACTAGAAACATCAGTTACTTTACTAAAATTTAGTGGTGTCATTTATGGAAAGGACTGGTTAAAACTTCCATTAATGATGATGATGATGATGATGATGATAAAGTTGGAAGGGACCTTGGAGGTCATCTAGTCCAACCCTATGCTCAGGCAGGAAACCCTATACCATTTTGGACAATTGGCTGTCCAGTTTCTTCTTAAAAACCTCCAGTGTTGGCGCATTCACCGCTTCTGGAGGCAGGTTGTTCCACTGGTTAATTGTTCTCACTGTCAGGAAGTTTCTCCTTAGTTCTAGGTTGCTTCTCTCTTTGGTTAGTTTCCACCTGTTGCTTCTTGTCCTGCCTTCAGGCGCTTTGGAAAATAGCTTGACTCCCTCTTCTTTGTGGCAGCCCCAGAGATATTGGAACACTGCTATCATGTCCCCCCTCGTCCTTCTCTTTGTTAAACTAGACATACCCAATTCCAGCAACCGTTCCTTATATGTTTTAGCCTCCAGTCCCCTAATCATCTTTGTTGCTCTTCTCTATATTCTTTCTAGAGTCTCAACATCTTTTTTACATCGTGGTGACCAAAACTGGATGCAGTATTCCAAGTGTGGCCTTACCAAGGCATTGTAAAGTGGTATTAATACTTCATGTGATCTTGATTCTATCCCTCTGTTGATGCAGCCTAGCACTATGTTGGCCTTTTTTGGCAGCTGCAGCACACTGCTGGCTCATATTTAAATGATTGTCCACTAGGACTCCGAGATCCCTCTCACAGTTACTACTATCGAGCAAGGTACCCCCCCTATACTATACCTATACATTTGGTTTTTCTTGCCTGAATGTAGAACCTTACTTTTTTCACCATTGAATTTCATTTTGTTAGATAGTGCCCAGTGTTCAAGTCTCTCCAGATCCTCCTGTATCCTAAGCCTGTCTTCTGGAATGTTGGCTATTCCTGCCAGCTTGGTGTCATCTGCAAATTTGATGAGTTCCCCATCTATCCCCTCATCCAGATCATTGATGAAGATGTTGAAGAGCACTGGGCCCAGAACAGAGCCCTGGGGCACCCCACTACACACTTCCCTCCATGTAGATGCGGTTCCATTGAGGACCACACGCTGAATACGACCGGTCAGCCAGCTACGGATCCATCTGGTGGTGATGCTGTCTCACCTGCATTTTTCTATCTTCTCAAGTAGTAGGTTGTGGTCTACTTTGTCAAATGCCTTACTGAAGTCCAAGTAAATTATATCCACAGCATTCCTCTGGTCCACTAATTTTGTCACTTGGTCAAAGAATGCAATAAGATTTGTCTGGCATGATCTGTTTTTGACAAACCCGTGTTGGCTTTTAGTAATGACTTTGTTTGCCTTTAGGTGTTCGCTGATTCGTTGTTTATCTTTTCCAGAATCTTCCCAGGTATAGGTCAGGCTGATAGGTCTGTAATTTCCTGGGTCCTTTTTTTTCCTTTTTTGAAGATGGGAACTACATCAGCTCTTTTCCAGTCCTATGGTAATTCCCCAGTGCTCCAGGATCTTTGAAAAATATAGTTCAGTGGTTCTGAGATCACATCTGCCAGTTCCTTAAGAACCTTTGGGTGTAATCCATCTGGTCCTGGTGATTTGAACTCATCTAGGCTGGACAGGTGTTCACTTACCATTTTTTTGCCTATCTTAACTTATATTTCTATTTTGTTTTTTATGGTACTATTTTTGATAGGTTGGTCTGTTTTTTCCTTTGTGTAAAGACAGATGCGAAAAATGAGTTAAATAGTTCTGCTTTCTCCCTGTTGCGTGTCACCTTCTTGCCACTTTTACCCACTAATGGACCAATCGTTTCCTTCACTTTTTTCTTGTTTTTTTCATGTTGAAAAAAGCTTTTTTTGTTATTTTTGACTTTGGTTGAAAGCCTTAGTTCATTTTGAGCCTTAGCTTTCCTCACTTCATCTTTGCAGGCTCAGGCTAATTGCTGATATTCTGACTTAGTTATGTGTCCCTCTTTCCACTTTCTATACTTGTCCTTTTTATCTTTCAATTGATCAGAGAGTTCTTTATGCAGCCATGCTGGTTTCTTTTGAGAGCTGTTATTTTTCCTCTTTGTTGGTATTGTGCTAGACTGGGCCCATATTATCTCACTTTTCAAAATTTCCCAAGCCTCTTGAGTTGTTTTCTCCTGGAGGATTCTCATCCATGGAATCCTTCCCAAACCCTTTCTAAGTTTATTCAAATTAGCTCTCTTGAAGTCCAAGACTCTAGTTTGACTGTGTTCTATTGCTTGTGCTTCCATAATGTTGAATTCCAATATTGCATGATCACTTCCTCCCAAGGTTCCTATGGCTTCAACACCTTCTATCATTTCATCTCTGTTAGTGAGAATTAGGTCCAAAATGGCTAATTCCCTAGTTCCCTTCTCTACTTTTTGGGAGACAAAGTTGTTTGCTAGGTTTGTCAGGAATCTGTTTGATCTTCCACTTGATGCAGAGTTTGTCTCCCAGTTGATGTCAGGGTAGTTAAAGTCCCCCATTACTATTGTGATGTGCTTCCTACATATCTTAGTTAGCTGACTAGCAAAAAGTTCATCTATTTCTTGTGTTTGGTTGGGTGGCTTATAGTATACACCTATGGCAATGTCGTTTCCCCCCCCCCTTTTATATTGACCCATATGCATTCAGGACCGTTTTCATTATTGTTATGCTCTATTTCTGTAGAGATGTAGTTATTTCTTATATAGAGAGCAACTCCACCTCCTCTTTTATGTGATCTGTTTCTTTTATTTATTATCAACAGATTAAAAATCATTTTGTGAAAGTAAGTATCTGAATATAATTCTTTTTATAAAAAAGCTCACAGAACACTTTTCCACTAGGTTCAAAAATTGTGAATATTTGGTTAAAGCCCATTTGACTATTAGATTTTTCTCTCCCAGATTTTCTCTCAATCACCAAAGCAAACTCATATTTGTCTTTGATCTTATAATTAAAACTTGAATGTAATTCATTTAACATAATTGTAACGGCAGAATTGATTTGCAACATATGAGCGCATTTTGAAATCATCTGTTGATTTTTGGAAGCCTCTAATTGGTGGGATGTATAAAATCAAATAAGAGATGTGAATACTTAATTGAGGCTGTACAAAGCATTTGAAAGAAGTGCAAAATACATTAATGCAGATTAGTGTTAGTCTCTTCACAGCATTAAAGCAGCTTTTGGAATGTTTATGTAGTTGTTTTTCCCCTAGCTGTTTTTGTATACAGATTCTTGCATAGCCCTTCATGTCTCTGGCATTCCAATTATCTGGGCATATATATGCATACCAATGCATGTTTGAAATAACTACGTAAGTTTCCTAAGGATGTGACTTTTAATGTTTTGAGAAGGGGTGCTTCACTCATATTAACAAACTATGCAAAAAGCCCTTTTTGAATGCTTTACAAACTCTTTAACACTTCCAGATACAAACCTACAGTACTTGATAGAAGAGAATATCTGTAGCTCAGGGTTAAACTGTGTAGGGCAGAGGTAGGCAACCTTGGCTCTTTTATGACTCGTGGACTTCAACTCCCAGAGTTGCCTACCCCTGGTGTAGGGTCTTTGGTGCTCTCTAAACTTGGTGATACACTGATGATATTATCTAATATGATAATGAACAATCTGCAAAAAAAAAAAAAAAACACCAAAAAACCCAACCCCACCAAGTTCAGAGAGCACCAAGGACCCCACACTATAGTATTCACTTTTTCATTTTTCCTTTACATTTGTATAAGTAGCTTACATTTTCTATTACGTATTTCCTTTCTGAAAATAAATAAATTTGCATCTAAGTCTTGGAGAAGAATAAACTGTTATATAAATAAAGGATTGCACATCTCAGATAATAATTTTGTAATGCTGTTACAATGCTTATGGAAGCAGTACTTACTTCCCTAAACTATTGAAAAGCATCCTTGAGACTCAGAAGGCTGAAAGTATTGCAGCTATCTCGGAGAAATGCTAGCATTTCCCTAGGATGTCTTTTTCTATTATTCGTCAATACCTTTTTTTCTTGGGAGAAAATCAGAGGCATATGATCCCAAGCAAATATTTGAAAATGAAGTGGCTGATTTTCTATTGAACTCCAAATCCTGCTGGCCTATGTTAGTAACAAATAAGGGAGGGTCTGTTTGTGGATTCCCATGGGTGAGTCCAAAACATTCATTTTCTTAATGTCTCATAGGCAAAACTTTCTAGCTTCTTCAGTACCATGTTCCGTGGTATCTCACTTAAAATCAGAGTATATTATAATGTGTTTATTTTTTAATTATTATTATTAAGAGAAGATAACTTGTTTAATTAAATGTATCTAGATTTGTTTAGGATTTATACGTCTTTTAAGTTGGTTTTTTTTTGATAGGAGAGAAGATTATGGAGATTGAATGAAAATCTTAGATAAGAAGTTTAAGTTTAAGTATTTAGTTTAAGTATTCAAAGAGTATTTAGTTTTAATGGTACAATGAAGGTTTATATGTTTATTTTTTTGTTCTAGGATAAAGAAAGAGGGAGAGATTGGATTTTATATTGTAGGTACAGATGTTCAAAGAAAGTAATGTTTAAATTTGTGTTCTGGAGGGAGTTTATATAGAATGATGGATAATAATATGAGTATGATATTAGAATTATTTTTTAGAGAAGATAACCTATTTAATTTAATCTATTTAGATTTCTTTAGGATTTATATGTGTTTTAAGTTTTTTTTTCTTTTTCTTTCTTTTTTTGAAAAATTTTAACTAAGCCTGTACTCAACTCTGGGAAGGTTGGGGGAGGGTTTGGGAGGTTTGGGGAGGTGGGGGACGGTGTGGGAGGGTGGAGGGGGGGGTTGGGGAGGGGATTTGTTTTGTAAAATTTAAAAAACTTTCAATAAAAAAAATCATACAAGGGATTCCTATGCAAGTATGATTTGCAATTCTTGAGTACAGACTGTGTAGCTGTATTAGCAAAAAACATTTGTGGAACAGTTCTCTGTTATTACAAGTACTTATTAATAGTAATGTTGGAGTGCTTTCAGTTTAAACATAATTAGAAAACATATAATATGCCCTTGCCCTTTGCCTTGCAGAATCAATGGACTTGAAGATAGTATTTGTTTGATCAAAGGAAGAATTGAAGAAGTTGATATGCCAGTTGAAAAAGTAGATGTTATCATATCTGAATGGATGGTAAGAATATGCTTTGCATAAATATGGAGCCATAATTTCAAACGTGCTAAAATATTATGTGGCAAATGGTCATATTTTTAATCATTGTAACTATTGTGTTATTGTTCTAAAACAGACATGTCAAACTCGCAATGTCATGTGATGTTGCGCAATGTATCGGAGCTTTTTTGCCATTGCTGGCAATGGGGTGGGCGCAGCTCTAGTATGATGAAACCGGCCCATGGGCCGGCAGTTCGACACCCCGTTCTAAAATGACAGGAAATAATTTGCCCCAGTAATGATACAATAACATCTGTTTGAAATCTTTTAGACTAGTATTTCACCATGATTTATCATAGCCATCAAGTGGCATTTAAAAGATATAGAAGAAACTATACGTGCACATATATGAATTTATTTGTATGTAGATAGAATTCAGAATGACAGAATTGGAAGGGACCTTGGAAGTCTTCTAGTCCAACTCCCTGCTCAAGCAGGAGATCCTATACCTTTCCAGACAAGTGGTTGTCCAGTCTCTTCTTAAAAACTTCAAAGTACCTGAATACTTTGATTAGCATTCAAAGTTACAATGGCACTGCAAAAAGGGAGCTTTTTTAGAAGCTGAACAAAATTGCTAGTGTATATTGCTAGTAGGATATTGCTAGTGAGACAATATTGGTATTGATAAATCAAATGAGCAGACTTCAATCCAGACAGAATTGTACTTCTGTTCCTGTGAGGTATAGAATTTTAAAAGGAAATTATGTTTAACACTAATTAGAGTAATTTTACAAATAGTAAGCTGTGAAATGAAATCAGCTGTGCAGCATGCTGGTGCTAGGTTTTCAGAATATTCTTTTTATTTATAAAGGGAGACAATTCACTCAGCACATGCTCCTGGGAGAAGCACGTGAGCATGCTTTTTCTTCACATCTTGATGATTGAAATGTTGCTACAAGAAGGAAATAGACTGTGTTAAATCCATGGGCAGAATTTTTCTTCTAATGTATAAGGATCACTTTCTTGCAGTCAGTGCTAGATGCACACATGGGCACACATGTGTAGGCACAGGTATGCATATATCTGTATAAATACAAATCTAAACAAACACAGAAACGGACAAAGCGCTGACCAGCAGCATCCTCTGCTGCTTCTAATCCAGAGTACTTTGCATAGCTGTTACAGAGAAAGTTGTGTGATTAAGGTGTTCACTAACCAATGATCAGGACATGGCAGAACAGGCAATGGACCAGGAGCATTACTAGGTTTGGGCTGGCTTTGAAAAAGATGGGAGGTTTTTTTTAGCTAACTTCTGCCCCCCCCCTCATCCCATCTTGGTCTTATCAGTAGGCAGTGATAGTGTATAATAGTTCTGGTTCTGGTTCCAGCATCCCTGTGGTTCCTCTGTCGAATTTGCTGCCTACACTTGATAAAAGAAACAAATGGCAAATGTGACCAGTTACTGCTGTTCATATATTCATTAGCTATAATGCTTCTAGGCCAGAGGCACAGACAAATCACTGTTGTAGCTTCTTCGCCCAACTGTAGGCAGCAAATTGCTGGAGGAAAAAAAATCCCTGCAAATGAAGGGATGTTGACAGATGTAGGGCAGAACTGATGTTTGCCCAGTCCTGATAGACATTATGCAGGAATTTGAGAAAAATAATGTGGTGTGGAAAAATTATAGAAGACATCTCTTGGGATCAGTGGAATCACTGAAGAAATCATATTAGAATCCATGCGTGCGGTATGAGGAAACGAGTCCCAAGAAGGATAACGAATAGAGTAATTAGAAGATAGAAAATGAATGTTCAGAAAACTAAAGTTAATTGTCTTGGAATGTTCTTAAAGAGTTTTTTACATGGCTTAAAAATGACAATAAAGGTTATCTTATCTATCTTTTAAATATCAAAGATAGCATAGCATCAAAATGTACAAGACAGTATAAAATTCAATAATAATAATATCCTTTATATGTATGATCTGAAGCTGTATGGAAAAACATCATCTAAAATAGAATCACTGCTCAACACTGTCCATATATATAGCCAAGATATTGTTATGGAGTTTGGCTTGGACAAATGTGCCACATTTACTATCAAACAAAGAAAAGTAGTGAAAACTGAAGGAATCAAGATGCCCCACGAAAATAACATTAAGAGTCTGGATGAGGAAGATTACTACAAATACTTGGGTATCCTTCAAGCTGACAACATCAAGCACACTGAAGTCAAGAAAAAGATTAGAGGTGAATACATAAAGAGAGTGAAGAAGATCTTAAAATCCAAACTCAATGGAGGAAATACCATAAAGGCAATCAACACCTGGGCAATCCCAGTCATTAGGTACACAGATGGAATAGTGGACTGGACTCAAGCAGAACTAAAAGCAATGGATAGGCAGACCAGAAAAATAATGACAAGGAATCATGCCCTTCATCCACGCAGTGACATTGATAGACTTTATCTACCAAGGCAAATAGGTGGGCGTGGAATGCTACAAGTACATCAGATGGTTGAAGAAGAAAAAATGGCTTGGAAGAATATCTGAAGAACAATGATGAAGATGCACTGAAATTAGTATATCAGGAAGGCTTACTGACTACTGGAGAGACCAAACTGGCCTACAAGAAAGACCAAATGAAGAACAGAATAGAGGCATGGGAAAACAAAGCACTACGTGCCCAATACATTAAAAAAATAGCTGGGAAAGCAGATAATAACAAGACCTGGCAATGGCTAAGAGCAGGAAATTGAAGAAAGAGACCAAGGGACTAATTCTGGCTGCACAAGACCAAGCCTTAAGGACAAATGCATATAAAGTCAAAATTGAGAAGACAGCAACAGACAGTAAGTGCCGCCTATGCAAAGAAGCTGAAGAAACAGTGGACTACCTGGTAAGCTGTTGCAAGAAGATTGCACAGACTGACTACAAGCAGCGGCATGACAAAGTAGCAACAATGGTGCATTGGAAGATCTGCAAAAAAATATCATTTGCCTGTAAGCAAAAACTGGTGGGATCATAAAATAGAGAAAGTCATAGAAAATGATAAAATTAAACTGCTTTGGGACTTCAGAATTCAAACAGACAAGCACCTGCAACATAACACCCCAGACTTAACAATTGTCGATAAGAAAGAAAAAAAAGTCTGGATAGTGGACATGGCAGTGCCTGGAGACAGCAGAATAGACGAGAAAAAACTGGAGAAGATAACAAAATACAAAGACCTACAAATAGAAATAGAAAGACTGTGGCAAAAGCAAGCAAGGGTAGTACCAATAGTCATAGGCTCCTTGGGTGCAATCCCAAAACAACTGGAGCACCACTTGAACACCATTGGCATTGACAAATTTGCTATTAGTAAATTGCAAAAGGCGGCCTTACTAGGAACTGCTTCCATCCTGCGACAATACCTGTAATACCATCAAACATCCACATCTGCCTATCCTAGGCCCTGGGTAAGGACTTGATAGGTAGACAAAATGCCAAATCCAGTCTGAACATCTGGCTGACTGTGCGATGATCCATAGTAATAGTAATAATGCCAAATGTTTTGAAAGCAGAATGAAAGATAATTATAACCAAGTTGAACTAAGCCTAGAGCTTTTTCCAAGTTTTGAATCCGCTAGCTTGGAATAATCAGGGTTTTTTTTGGGGGGGGAGGGAATTCAGTTTGGACCTAAAGCCTTTTTTTAAAAAAAAACAAAAACATTTCAGTGCTGTGTGGCACATCCCTACAACAATTTTATTTGAAGCAAACTTGAAATTGCAAACTTGCTATCTAGAGATAAAATTGACCCATCACCAGACCCTCACTTGACACACCCACACCTGACCCATCACAAATCCTACTGGCCACGTGAAGCCCTTATAAACAGAAGAACACCAATACTGACGTACCCTAAAACCCGCTGAAGATTTTATCTAGCCTGGTAACGAAACCTTTGAAAACCAACCCACAAGCTCAGAGAACGAGCCTTCACCCTCATAAAATTGCATGCAGGAGCATTTTTTTAAAATTCAACATCCAGAATCTTATTCTAATTGTTTATTTCTGTTTCTCTAAATCTTGATATACAGATGCGCTTCTGTCACCCAGCTATGCCAGTATATCTCACAAAGCCCTTATATCTTTTTTTCTATTTGCTATAAGCACTAACAAATATTTTTAATAGCTGAAACACTTCTATAATATGCAATAATAAAAGAGCCTTTCTTTGTTCATCTAAGAAAAAGCAAGTCAGTTGTATGTCTTCATTTGGTTGCTGCTTTCCATCATTGGCATTCTGTTCACAAATCTGTGCAGTACAGAATACTTTGCTTTAATTAATGTTGAATTAATAACGCAACTTTTTAAAAATTATTTTTTAAATTTATACCTTGTCCATGTAGAAGCAGGAAAATCTCCAAGCATCATAGACCAAAAATGTCAGGTATAATTCTCTTTCCAGATGGCACCCCTACAGGTGAGGCAGCAGCCTGTGAAATTACATTCTAAATTACAGCAGAGATTAGCACCACACATAGAGCAAAACATTTTGAGATTGTTGATGAATGACTTGATTCAATATGATGGACAACCCTTTAGCAGCTTAAAGGATGTGATAATCCATAAGGGAGGTTTGGATGGTTGAGGTAAAAACTGCAGATTCAGCCTGGAAAATATCAGAAGAGAACAGTGAGTTCTAAAAAATACCAGTTATTTTATCGGTGGTCTGCTTTTTTTAGCATGATTGAGAAAGGTAATGATGTATTAATGCAATAATTGGTTGCTTCCAGTGATGGCTTTGTCCTAGCAGAAAACATTTCTCCTTCCCAAGGGTGTAATACTCAGTTTTCATTATACCTTTCCATGCTACGTGACACATTTTTTGTGGAGGATTCCTTGATTTTCATGTATACGTGGGGGGAGGGAGTGCAGTGCAGAAGGAGGAACAGCAGACATCTTGGGTCTCCTTGTGCAGAGAGAAATGCTCCATAGAGATACAAAAGGTACTGTTGGATGCAAATATACATATGTCCTGCTATAAAAAACCTGCTTGCCATTTGTCCCTAGGGCTGTTGTTTGTGCAAACAGCAGCTAGAGAGAGAGAGAGAGAGAGCTGTTCAGTAGGAAACTGATGAAAGCTTTCCATCAGAAGCACTTTCTGGATCAAGCTGTTCTGGCTGCTATTTTTCTCCAAAATAAAATTGCCATCTTAACCTTGCTTATTTAACCCTTGGTTCTAAATAAAGTTGAGCCTTCTTATCAGTAGAAAAATCGCCTCTTTCTCACTGCTTGTGTTCCTTTCTTTAAGAGAATAGATTTTCTATCCTTCTGCATATGCTGAGATTCAAACCTACCTTTCCAGCTATGCACAGTTGGTTTGCACTCTGAGAATAAAATATTATTGGCTGTTAGGTATAATTATGACCTGGTGTTCAGCCTTTTGAGAGAAACCCAGTCCTAACCCTCCTTTGCTTTCCAGGATATTGCTAAGGAGGAATTCAGCAACTTTAATTTCCTTTGTACATTAACCCAATTTAATCCAGGCAAACTGTGATTAAACTTAAACTTTGATTTGTAGTTCAAATATAGTTTGTAAGGCTAGTTCATTTTATCAGTAGATTAACTTAAGTTTCATAGGACACACTGTGCTGTTATTCTAAAATAAAAGCCAAATTTACAGTTTCTTCTTTGCAGCCATGTTGAAGAAGTGGGAATGGGCTGGGAACTAGAGCATGTACATGGCCTAAGAGGAAGCTATGCTTCTTAATAAAAAGCTATTCTTTTTATCCTATATATAATCAGTCTTGAGCTTATTCTTTACATTTTATATGCATGCCTCCAAACTAGCACAATGTGTTGAGCTTCTCTATAATTTCCAATGGGAACCGTTGCATGGTAAAGGGCCTGCATCCTTCTCTACTAAACATACTTTTAAGTGGGGGACATTTAGCTACTACCATCCCTGTGCCTAAGCGTTCCTGTCTCTATGGTGTTTTTGTAGCAGGGTGAGTTGTTTTTTTGACTTGTGTGACATTTGTGGTTGACCTTTGCTGAATTTGAGAGTTGAAGTTTTTATTATTTTATTATGCCCCTTTATGTACAAAAAGAGAGATGCTCTTTGGAGATTTCATTAGTCACATTTTGTACATATTGATACTAACAATCAATTAAAGTTAAATCTGTGGCCTCTTCCTTTAGGAATTGTGAAATGCTTAATGAAAGAAATTGCTATACCAGGGTGTAAATGGCAGTGCTAATAGGAAAAGAATAAAAGAGCTGCTGGACTATTCTTCAGAATACGTATTTCCAAAAACAAAGTTTATAAATGCTACTGTAGAGCTTGCTAAAACTGGTGCATAATTTTACACAATCTTCTATTTATTTATTTTCCTTTTTGTCAATTTGCAGGGCTATTTCCTCCTCTTTGAGTCTATGCTGGATTCAGTCATTTATGCAAGGGACAAATATCTGGCCAAAGGAGGCTCAGGTTAGTCTGATTAAATAAATAGTTCAACTATGGAGAAAACTAGATTCTGCTATGCATGACCAAGAACTTTATTTTCTGAAATGAATAATCTTTCCATTAGGAGTAGCTCCAACATAATCATTTCATAGTACGAATAATGCAAAATCAATTTAACAGGATATTTGGATCTTAAATGAAATACTATTTTCAGGAATTTCTTTGTCTTTTTAAAAATGTGTGTGTGTGTGTGTGTGTGTGTGTGTGTGTGTGTGTGTGTATGTATGCATGTGTATGTCCATGTTTTTGCTGTCATAGCAGAGTTTTTTTTATCTACAACACCCTCTTTCTCCACCCTCCAAATGTTCAGGGTCAGATTGAGCATGGTACTTGAGAGAAGGGCAAATCTGTTCTATTGATACATGCCATGTTGGTGGACAAAAAGATTTGAATACTACCCAGTGGAATTCTTTAAGGTGGCCAAAGTTTACAGGAAGAGGAGAACTAACAATGTAATCTGGATTTGAGGTTTAAGGAAGAAGTAGGGAACTACTTGAAAATAGAGGTTCTAGTGTGTAGCATAGAAACAGTTTATCACACCTTGGTTTTGTGTTATGTTTTGCCTTTTAGTAAAACCCAATTTTCAAGTGTAGAATAGAATAGAATTCTTTATTGGCCAAATAAAGAATTGGACACACAAAGAATTTGTCTCCGGTGCATAAGCTCTTGGTGTACATACAGTGTACAATCAACAAGTGATAAATCATCATGATCGTACTCATAATAGAATCATCATGAATCATAAGATACAACACTCAGTGATAGTCATAAGATACTAAATGAAAACAATCAGCATAAACCATAAGGTACAAACAATAAAGTGATAGTCATAAGATGCTAAAGGAATAGGTAATAGGAAAAATGAGAAGGATAATAGTAATACAGCCCTACTACATGGTTTAATATCCTAGGGCGTGAGACAATATTATGGGAATTAGGTGTTTGGGAGACTGATGGCATGTTTTTGTGTCTAGTTGTTTCGGCATGCAATGCCCTATAGTGTCATCTTGAGAGAAGAAGTTGAAACAGTTTATGTCCAGGATGTGAGGGATCTGAGGATATTTTCACAGCCCTCTTTCCGGCTCTTGCAGTATACAGGTTCTTAATGGAAGGCAGGCTGGTTGCAATTATTTTTTTCTGCACTCCTATCTAACTCTGTTGAAATTTGTGTCTGTCCTGTTTGATTGTTGTGCCAAACCAGACAGCTATAGCGGTACAAATGAAGAAACTTCTTGGATGAGAAGTGAAAAGTCTTCAAAGAAAAACAAGAAAGTCCAGTTGCCTCTTGAAAAAGCACCTTTGGGACATCGGTTGTTAATATAAAAGCAGAGACACCCTCCCTTCTTTTTGCTGGATGTTTCTGCAATTCTGTCTGTCCTCTGTATCTTAAATCCTGGGATATGCAAACTGCTATCATTAATCAAATCATTTAGCCAGGTTTCAGTGAAGCAGAGGGCTGCTGAGTTGTAAAAATCAGAGTTGTGTCTGTTTAAGAGGAGTATGTTTAAGAGAGTAACAGAATCACAGAGTTGGAAAGGGCCTTTGGAGATTTTCTAATCCAGTCCCCTGATCAAGCAGGAAACCCTACAACATTTCAGACAAATAAATGTCCAATCTTTTTTTAAAAAAATCTCCAGTATTGAAGCACCCATAACCTCTGGAGTAAGCAGGAGAAATACCTGTATTCTGTTTTATTTCAAATCTGGAATTGTGTGCTTATGTTTGTATGCCACCCACTGAAAAACCAAATATAGTGTTATGGTATTTAAAATAATCATTACGGTTTTCTATCTGTTCTGATGATGTGGAAGTTGAGGTGGAAGCACTTCTTCTGAGGGAATAGGTCTGTGAAAGGAAATTCTTCTAAACTCATGTCTATGGAGCTTCTCAATTATCTAGGTCATGGTTGCCCCAAAGATCCTTTTTCCAAAAGGCAGCTGGACTTTGAAAATGTTTTGCATCTCACCCAAGAAGTTCTTCAGTTCTAAACTCATGACTATTGCTCAATGGGCAGATGGGGGAATGGCCAGAAGGATTTTTAACCAGCTTCAGTTTAAGCCATACTTGTAGCATGACCTTGCTGCAGTGATTGATGTCCCCATCACTACTCATTCGGGCTGCTGCAGTGCAGTGGGACTGCCTTTGAAGACTACCGTACTCAAAAACTGCATTTGCTTCAAATTGCAGAAACCTGTGTGCTATCTGGCAGATTTTGTCAGGATCAGAGAATATAAATATTGCAGGCCCAGCATTGGTTTTCACTAGGTTTCTTGGTCCAATTCACCTGCGGCTTTTAACCTATAAACTCTTTATGACTTGGCACCTAGGTATCTTCAGGGCTACCATTTGGATCAAGGTTGCATGTTTGGAATGTTTATCATAAGAGATGAGTGGGGCTAAGGCCAGGAAGCAATTGTTTTCAGTAATAGTGGCGATTCTCTAGAAACCACTCCTTCTGGAGGTGAAACTGACTCCATCTGTAATAGCCTTCCAGATTCAAATATAATTGTTCCAGTTGGCTTTAGGGATGAATTATTTGTAGTTTAAATGCTGATGTAAGCATGTTTTAATTTTATAAAACTTCAAGAATTGTTGAGATGTGGTGGTTTATAAATTGAATTAAAATAATTTACAGTAAGCTAATTGCTGCTAGAATTCTGGCTTATCACTCTGTGCATGTACGGCCTTAAAATTTATCCCCAGTGCATTTTTACTCCTCCTTCTCATTTACAGAGTTTAGATTGAGGAACATCTAATTTTGGCTCTTGGAAATAGAATAGGAAGTGTTGAGTTTTCAGTGTTTGCTGAACCACTTACTAACTGCGTGCACAGCTGGATGACTTAATTAAAAATAGTGCTTAACCAAGAGAAAATATATAGGCTATTTTTGAGACAAACTGCAGTATTTAAAGCACTATGAAAGAGTTGGCCTAGTATCTAGTATTAGAGAGCCAAATTGGTATGGCATTTGTTGCATTTTGCTAAAATAATTTACAAGTTTATTTATTATTGTCCTATATTAATGTGTATGTAATTTTGCTGAAAAATGTTTCTAACTAGCATTCTTCTCTTTTAAAATTATTATTAAAAGGTTGAAAACTGATATTTGACCTACAACTCCAATTATTTAAACAGTGCAAGGATATTAAACTATTCATGGGAGACCTAAGTATCCAAGAATTAATATATACATTAATGATAGATATATGATGTGGAGTCACAAATTATTTTTTCCCAGGGACCACTGGAAAAGCCATACTTTTAAGACTTTCCTTAAAAGACATAGGTCATAGCTGTGCAGATATGATTGGGGAGTTATTAATTGAAAATAAATGAAAGGACTTTATTATAATCTATGTTTGTTTCTCATTCCCAATATAAAATAACATTAATAATACTTTTGTTGATTGTTAACATAATTTGACAGGATTTCAAATAGAATGATTTTGTTTTTAAACATATGGAATTCATGTTCTTCTGCCAACTGGTTTAGAAAGTTAATAGAAGCCTTATTCATAGCTTTTTTTATTTTTATGTGTAAAACAGCTAGCTGGTAGGATTCAAATATCAAATGAATTTCCCCATTTCAGTGCTACCTGTGGTGTGTTCTTGCATTGTGTGCAATAGTAAACATTAGAACCTGCGAATTCAAAATATCCTATATTATTTCTAGAGTAGACTTTTTTAAAGAGTTAGGCTGTAAGTCCAATAACCATTGCACCAGACAGAGGAAAGAAGGTTTATAATGAGTATGTTTTGATATAGTGAAAACTGTCATAATCCATGGAACTATGTAGTTTTGTGATACATGTGATAGCTTGATCAAACATATGCAGTGACTGGGTTTTTCTTTTCCTTTCTCCTTTTCATTTATATGAAATTTCTTCCCCTGACCCCAAGATGTCAACAGAGATACTTTCAAAGTGAGAAGAACAATAACTTACAGATAATTTTGAAATGGCAAATATGGTATAGTTTCTGCAAGAATGACATTGCTTTGAGGATGGAGTTTTTAAAACTCCAAATCTGTATGAGTTGATAAGATATTTATCAACTTCCCTTGCACGTTTTAGTGCCAATAGTGTAACCACACAGTTCATTTAGCAGGGATTTAGGCATTTGTAACGGGTGAACTTTTGCCAATTGCTTTGGAACAATTGTCCTACTTTCTTTATTATGCTAAGTGCTTTCCAGGAGGCAAAGATGATTTATATTTCAATCTTTCTAGAAAGCAGATAGTCTGATTTAATTGAGAAGTTAAAGCTGGTGCTACTCCAGACTATTCAGATTTCATTTAAAATTGAGTGGCATAATAGACATTTTAAATGGCCATCTGATTTTCAGTTCACCACAGCAATTTAATCATATAGATCAATAGGATATATAATATGAGTCTCAAATCAGAGTAGACATTTCTGTCTTGAAAATTTCACTATCTTGGCAGAGATATTTTCAATATGAGCCATTGAACCCTTACTTTAAGGAAATGTTACCTGCCACTCTAAGCTGTTCACTGTCAACAGTGTTAAGTTGTGCATTTGTCTATGCCTAAATTGTGTATCTTATTTATTTATTATGCCAATTTGTATGCCCCCAACCATAAAGCTCAAGACAGTTTAGGATAAAATGCAATTTAAAAGCTCCCATTGCAATTGGTAAGTGTATGTGCTTAGAATTGCTAGGCTGAATACAGGGGAAAAAAAAAAAGCTTTCACCTTGCAGTTAAAACTGTTTATCAGCTAAGGCTTTGGAGGAGCACAGTATTCTCAGTGGAATGCAATGTGGTTAATTTGCTTGTCAAGTGAAGCTAAGACAATGAAGCTCTAATGCTTCTGACCTTAATAAACTTCTTAGTTAAAAAGTATAAAAAAAGCTGAAGTGATTCCTTACACTAAAATTCTTTCAAACACTAAGAACGTAAGTCTACTGTAGTCCCAGTCTCTCTTAGAACCAAAATAGTAAGGGAGTAAATTAAGATCAGTGGTTGAATAGGAAAGCGCTCCATTTGGTCACTAATGTAGATTTTAAAGGCAGTGGCGGAGAAACATATTATCCCTCCTGTAATACTTTTAGTTCCAAGCATAGTAAAATGTCTGTGTGGCATTGTACCTAACATTTTTTTATTTTTTTATGTATTTATTAGATTTCTTATGGCTGTCCACTTCAGTAGACTCTGGACATTTACAAAATTCAAATACACAGAACAATTTCAAAAACATAAAGCAAAATGGACAGCCTGGACTAAAAACAGCCAAAACAATAAAAAACAGAACAAGGGCTTGGTAAACACACACTAAGCCCAGGTCTGGAAACAGAGCCAGGTCTTAAGGGCTGTTTGGAACCCTAGAAGAGTAAGTGCTGCCTAAATCTCTGTTCCAGAGGGTAGATACATCAACAGAGAAGGCATGCTTCCTCAGTTCCAGGACAGAGGGGAACCTCTGCCCAATGTATTGGGCAGGCAGAAACAATTGGAGATAGATAATCCCTCAGATCGGGGTCCCCAACCCCTGGACCACAGCCCAATACCAGGTTGTGGCCTGTTCAGAACTGGGCTACACAAGCAATGAGTGAGCGCACACATAGCTTCACTTGCGCGAGTGGCAGGTGGTCACGTTCATGCATGAAGCTTCATTTGTGCAAGAGGGGTGCCACTCTCACGGAACCATCCCCTCTCCCCCCCCCACCTCTGCCTGGCCACTAAGCCAGAAAGATTGGCAACTGCTGCTTCATAACCAACTGTGTGCCCTGAAGGACTTAATAGGTAACAACCAACCCTTTGATTGGCCCCCCAGAAGCTCATTGGCAAACAGTTCTAAAGTACTGTCCTGGATACTTTTCCTTCTTAAGCAACTGCTGTTATGCCCTTTTCTTTTTTTCAGAAAAAGTAATGTATTATTTCTTCTTGCACATGTGGCTTTAAGCAACTTAAAAAAAAAATAACAGGAAAGGAAATCTACCTTCTGTGTTGTATTTTTTTTTCTTTCCTCCTGTATTTTTCTTTTCTTACTGAAAACAGTTCAGCTGACAATGTATTATGACTGTATTAACATAGCACTGTGTCATTTTGAAATCTCCTGCTCACCTCTCTCAAGTTTCCCAAAGGACCTCTCGGTACAATGCTGGCAAAAAAAATTATCCAAAGCAAAAGTACTACATGAAAGAATGATTGATTGTAGTTGCTTTCCCACCTTTAAAGGATGTTTGCTTCCAACCATGCTTCGGCTTTGCTGTTCCTTCAGTATTACCTTTTTACTGCATTGCTGAGGGATCAAAGATTTCCCATCTTACTTTGTTCTCAGTATGAGCTGTTACTAATGACAAATGATTTGGAGGCAGTGAATCGAGAAGGACACAGATGACAAATCCATACCAGTGCTATAATGTGCTGCCCTGCAATGTCCGATCAGCAGTTTCATATCACCTGTGTTGAGAAATAATTCAGTCAGATAAAAAATGATGGCATAACCAAGAATTAAAAGAGTTTTCCTTTTTCCTTGCTTTTCTTTTTTCCTTATTTTTATAAGTAGCAAGGCTTAAGGACTGAAACCAGCTCATCAGTGCAGTGGTACCTTCAGAATATGTCAAAACTCTTTCCTCTTTTTTTTTAAGATGATGAAGGAAAATACCTTCCATTAAACTCTTTTCTATGAGCAATGTTTTTAAAAAATGAGATTGCAGTGAAACAACATTGGACTGTACTGTTAAGACAGAGTAAGCAAAAACCTCCCCCAACTTCCCTTTTCTTTGGCATTTTTAAAATCATCAGCCATTTAAAAATAAGTTAGTCAAAGGACAGATGTAGATGTACAATAAACAATATTAGAACATCACTTCAGAGTGCCTTACAAAGTCAACCTTGTAAATATGCATTTGTTTCTTTTTCTCACTCTTAAAACCTATCTGTCTACAGAAAAATGAAAAACTTAACTCCTATATTTACTTATATATTTTTATTCATTTATTTATATCTTGCCTTTATTATAACTACTTCAAGGCAACAAACATATCCAACAAACCTTCCTCCTCCTATTTTCCTCACAACAACAGCCCTGTAAAGTGGGCTGGGCTGAGCGAGAGTGATTGGCCAAAATCACCAGCTGGCTTTCACGGCTAAGGCGGGACTTGAAATCACAGTCTTCTGCTTTGTAGCCTGGTTCCTTAACCACTAGACCAGGGGTGTCAGTCCTGATACGTTGTGCCTGATACATCATGTGACTCGCGAGTTTGACATGTCTGCACTAGACTGAACTTGCTTAATTATTTATTTCTTCTTTCAGTTTTTAAGGCCACTCACCTGCTACCTATTTTGCTCAGCTTGCGTAAAGGAGAATCAATAAAGGAGAATATTTGTGGGTCAGGATTGAAATGAGAGGCCCTTGGTACTTTCTGAGTTTGGGTAATGAAACGTATATAAGATAACAGCCAAGCTCAGAGAGCACCAAGGACCCTTGCATAGGATTAGAAATGTCACAAAACAATACCCCTATAACAGGATTTTGTGCTGCATTCTGACCAGTGTCTGGGAAGAAAGAACCACTTCTAAAATCTATGAAAATCTGGCAGGATTGTGGTCATCCGACTTCAGGATGGGGCAATGTGGCCACAACTGAGGTATTTTTTAAATCAAGGTTACAAGTTTTATAACATGAACTAGCCTATTATTGCTCCATTCGATTTAAATGCTGATCCTGGCAGCAACCTTTGCAAATTTAACACGTATGATATGTTTTTTGGGGGGAATGTTGTTATATAGCACTTGCTGTGTATTGTTTTGGAAAGCAGCTTGACTCAAATCACTTTGTCAGTACTTAATGAGGGATGTTGTTGATAATCCAGGAACAGGCTTGGAAAGTTGGAAGATGAGAAGTCAAGTGTAAGCCACAAAGTTCAGCAACCTGGTCTGTAGAAGAAATAACATTCTCCTGTAAAGTGTGTTTTATGTCAGTGTGTGTGGCAGTGGTCAGCTATGCAGAACTACTGATTTATTTCAGCTGCACTGATGACCTTTTTTTTTTTTTGTATGTGTGAATAATGTCCCCTTTCTTTCAGAATAAAATATTGAATACTCGAAAGGCTTTCAGTCTGAAAACTTGGGCCTTTCTCCCATTTTGGGGGAAATCCACTTTCTTTAGCTATTTTAGCAGGAAAGAATAGGTATATTTTTTCATCCCATAATGTTGATTACTTCTTCCAAATTCTGAATAAGCATGAAGTCTACAGCATATTCAATATGTTGATTATAAATAGATACCACAGATTTTCCCATTTGAATGCTCTTTAGGCTTTTTGATCTCACTATCTGGACCAGGGGTAGGCAACCTTGGCTCTTTTATGACTCGTGGACTTCAACTCCCAGAATTCTGGGAGTTGAAGTCCACGAGTTATAAAAGAGCCAAGGCTGCCTACCCTGATGCAGACTGTTGCAGTTGGCACAAAATGGGGCAACTAGCCTGCTAGATGGTACAAGAAAAAAGATGATAACACCTGAAAAATCTGCACTGGTTGTCAAATGTTTCTTCGGCCCAGTTTAAAGTAGTGATAATGAACTTTAAAAATCTTGAAAGAACTCAAACTTGGACTGACTAAGATAATGTTTTTCAACCTTGTCAATGTTAATATGTGTGGGCTTCAACTCCTAGAATTCCCCAGCATGTAATGAATTGAAGTCCCCACATCGTAAAGTTGCCAAGGTTGAAAAATACTTGTTTCTCTACAGTAGGGGTCCCCAACCCCCGGTCTATGGACCGGCACCGGTCCTGTGCTCCAATTGAGTAGGAAGATAGGATATAAATCAAATTACAATAATATAAAAGCTGAATAAGAGCATGCTTCTTAGAAAAATATAGTATATCAGTTCAAAGCTGCTTGTATTTTCTCTTTTATGCTGTAGGTTTTTGCTATGCCACTGGTAGACTCAAAGCTCTCCTCCTCTTTCACATCCCAGCAAAAGAACATCCTACAATTGTTGCAGCTTTGTTGTACTCCATTCATGGAAGCACACATCTCTTTTAGTCCTAGAGGATCTTATTTCAGAGATGTAGCTCTGGAATTGCTGAATCTAAATGTTTTGTTTTCTTCCAGCATGTTTAACAGCATTTGGCTTTTCTTGTACAGAAATTTGCCCCTGCACAGTCCTCATTATTGAATAATTTATCTAATTGCAGTGTATCCTGACTCTTGTACCATTAGCCTGGTGGCTGTAAATGATATCGCGAAGCATACCGATAAATTGACTTTCTGGGATGACGTGTATGGCTTCAATATGTCCTGCATGAAAAAGATGGTAATACCTGAAGCAGTTGTGGAAATCTTAGATTCAAGGACTCTTATATCTGAAGCTTGTATCATCAAGGTACTGTGACAGAGAATGGCATCTTCTAAAAAAAATAATGTTTCATTTATTCTCTTTGTGAGTTGTCTTTATATAAAACTATCATTATAGAAAATTAATATAGTGACTTTTAGTTCTTGGTCAATAGCAATGTGAAGTCCATGATATTGAGTTTTGGAATTATCACTATGGAGTTTTAGTCTGTTGATAGTATATTTCCATCCTTGCTTCCGAACCCCCCTTTGGGGGGGGGGATAAAATCAAGAATGAAATGAGAAGATATAAGAGCTATCTGCCACTCAACAATTATTGATTGCAGATGTCCAGGCTCGTTTGCAGTAATTTCACCCAAGGTCTATTATATAATTTAAACATTGACATTGTAACCCTATGCTCCTTTCTCTTCTCACTAACTCTCTTGATATGATTAGCAAACCATATTTTCTGGAGCTATGGTTTATTAATAGTCTCTATTTTAAATATTTGTAGAAAAAAATATTTCCTCATTTTTCCTGAGCAGATATTTATGTTCATATGGTTGGAAAGTAGCAATACGAAGTATATTATCAGTATATTGCTTTCTTTGCAAATAAACATTGGATGTTGGGTATTTACCTAGTGTCACTGTGGAGTCCTTGGTGCTTTCTGAGCTTGGTTGTCTCCTTGCAGACATTTCATTACTCACATTCTACTACTTCCTAAAACTTATGAGAATATATTATTTATTTGCATTTTGAAACTATGTCAAATGATTTGGAGGAAAAACCATTTCTTTGGTTCTCCTGTTACAGTACAGAAGAAAGACATGCTATTGCTGTTTATCTGATACACTGAAATTGGTTGACTTTCAATTTAGAGCATCCTGTTAAATAGGGTCCTCTTTAGATGTGTGAAATTTTATTCTCAGAATTCATGGCAGTTGAAATCCATGGTGATGGCCAGAGTAAGAAAGGTTGGTCTTTTGCTAACGCTCTCTCATCTTGATCAAGATAGGTTGCACTGAACTGTACTGTATTCCTCTTGAAAAATAGGGATCCTGTAGTTTAGGATTCCAGTAAGTAATAATCATACCCAGCATGATGATGGGTTCTCTAATTGTATTTTAGATGATTTAAAGTCAGTTTGGTGTAATGGTTAAGGTATCAGGCTAGAAACCAAGAGAATTCTAGTCTTGACTTGAGCACAAAGTCAGCTGGGTGACCTTGGGCCACTCACTAGCTCTCAGCCCTAAGAAGAAGGCAGTAATAAACCACTTCTGAAACCAGGTTAAAAATGCAGAGGCCAATACAGGCAATCACTTGAGTCAATACTGACTCAAAGATAGCAAAAAAAAAAAACACAAAAAAACAAAAAACAAAAACAAGTTGTAGTTTTAAAACTGAGAAGGTATCCTAATGTAATCATGTTGGATAAAAGCCTTCAGATAATCTTTACATTCTAAACTTATTTTTGTGTATAACAAAACTAAGGAATTGACCAAGAGTGTCATTATGAGTAAATAACCAAGATTAATAGCAGCTTTCTAGAACTGGTGATTTTGAAATATCCAGGAAATTATAAAAATGTGCCTTATTTATCATGTAATGTCGAAGAATATACATTCAGCAGTCAAATGTGGGTGAATATGAATAATGCCTTTGTCATACTCTATTTACGTTCATGAAAATCTGTTAATATGCAAGACTGAATTGGATACATTTTCAAGGATATTTCTCTTTTATGTACTGAACAATTGCTGAAAATCATTTGTAAACTGAATGAGTATAATAGAATTGCTGAGCTATAAAGAGGAGAATAGATTTTCTGGCTCCACTATAGATATATAATAAATATTAGTCTCTTCTTGAAAATAGTCGAGGATATATTTCAAGCTTCTGGTAGCTTTTTTCCAGTCTTAGGATGTTTGTATATGAAATATTAGGTGTAAGTATTTCATCTGAATCTCTTGTTTCATCCTTATCTTAAGTGGAAAATGGATTATTTATTTGGTTAGTCTATTTTTATTTGTTGTTGGAAGGATATTCTATTTTTTTACAGTGGAAGAATTTTTATCTTCACCGTACCATTTGTGAGCGAAAATATAACAGTGCTCCATTTTCATGATTCGCTTCTATCTTAAATCATTTCTACTTCTTATTTTAACATATGTTGAAGTTTAAAAAACATATTTTTACAGTGTGGCCAAACCAAGAGCTGTGTACAAAAATTAAAAGGAAGCTGTGTACAACAATTAAAAGAAATTTCATTTTGGAAAGGAAGACTGGTCCTAGAGCAGGGGTAGGCAACCTTGGCTCTTTTATGACTTGTGGCTCAGGAATTCTGGGAGTTGAAGTCCATGAGTCATAAAAGAGCCAAGGTTGCCTACCCCTGTCCTAGAGTAATAGTTTGCCCTGCAAAAACTAGAGAAGACAGGCCTGTGTTCAGTGTTGCTTAAGACACAAGGGAAAAGGAAGCAGATGAGCTTATCAAAAGAGAAAAGAAAAATTTCTTTTAATTGTTGTACACAGTAACTGGAGTGCCATCACTGAGAAGACCAACCTCTAGGCACCACGCTGTGAGACAGATTTGCTAGAATAAGGGAAATATTAAAAGGGAGTGTTTTTTTTTAAAGGAAAAGTTACAAATCCAACACATTGCTGAGATATGGAGTGTTGAATAATGCAATGGAAAAAAATGTTATCTTCTGATCCTTACTCAGCATGGAAGTGTTTTTAAAGTTATGCAAACTGCATTGCAATCTACTTTTAGCATTTTCCAAAGTTACTCACCACACAGTGTTGGAGAACAGCAATTAAAAAAGCAATTAATAGTCCTAAACTCAAAAGTGTAAGCAAAATTATGTATTTTGGGCTTGAGTTCACACATATAATTACATATCGATCTTATAAATAACAAGTTTTGCTGAGATAAATGCTTTTGATACAAGGGAGGTGGGGGTGGGGGCGAGCCTTTGGCCTTTAGCTGTTTCTTCTAGGTGTCCCTGATGGTGCCTTTGTGCACCTTACACTCCTCCCATAGGATTGTCCATCTGGAAGGACTGTGAGCTTTACTGCAAAACCTGCAAGATAGACTAAGTTAAAATAGTTATCAGCCACTCCAAAATCCATCTATGACTTTCTTTGGTTTGGTTCTCAAGCTCATATTTGTTCTATCTTGCAGCGGATAGACTGCCATGCTGTCTCAGTTCCAGAACTGGAATTTTCATCTGACTTCGTTTTGATGGTCACCAAGACTTCCATGTGTACGGTAAGTTTAGTTTCGCTTGTAGAAACATTTCTGAGGAGGAGATGCCTCATTTTTTAAATCTTCTGTTTGTGCAAACAAAAAGCCACTGATCGGTTTGCCATAATTTGATAGCTGTAGATAGATATGTGACGTTATCTTCAAGCCGATTAACTTTATTTCTTCACTGATTGTCTTTCCAACAGTTCAGCTATTCCTCTTGAGTCTTTGACTGTCATGTCTTCTTTTTCCTGATAAACATTTTCATCTTACCTTATGTTTTAGCTTTATGTTGTGGCTTTATATGTCATAAAAACCTATCCTTTAAAACTAACGGGTATAATTCTCTTGCCTTTAAAACTCTTATCACTTGCTTTTTGCAATTTCCATTAATGTAATGGAAATGTGATTTCTTGTTCTGTTTTCCCCAAATTTGCTTCAGATAATCTCTCAATGTGCCAGGAAAGAAAGAGGAACCATTCCACCAGTGATTTCCATTCCATCTGTCGATAGGCAGGATTAACTGTAATCCCACTAAGCATTTTTAGATTTATTCAAGATTGTTTGGCGCTTTTGTATAAAATACTTCCTGTATCTTTTCATTTTTTTTTCAATTGATATAAGCTTTATCCATTTCCAAATTCCATTTTATTGTTTTGTAGACATTGATATTCTCCTGTCCTAGAATAGAATGTAAGGTTTGGGAGTTATTGGTCTTTTATTAATTTTTTGTGGCACTACACAGAAAAACTAACATGTTGCCCAACATTATTTGTACTTTTTAATATATGATTATTGACATCTTATGATGAGAATTTTATGATGAAATGCCAGAGATTAGTCAGAGATTGACAGTCTATCCATCATATCAGACTGCCGAACCTTGCAGTAAATAAATGCCTATTTATGTGATTTATTCATCATTTGTAGGCAGACAGAAACATTTTTTTCAGTAAAAGTACAATCAATAAAATGAAGAACACAAAACTATTTCCTAACAACAAGAACTATTACCAATCACTTCTGGGCAAAGTTTATATATAATATAGGAAAAGTTTGCTACTTCAGTGGCCCAGAAATTTCAATAAAAGAGGAGTAACTAAATTGTGTGGAAGGTCCCTGGCAATACAGAAGAACATGAGCAGTAAATAAATAATGGAATACATTATTTGTATAGTATTTGTTGGAGATGGTTAAAGATATATTTTTGCTTAATTTTGGAATCTCAGTTTTGATTAGATTTACAATAAAAGAATTAATGTTTAATATGTTATTATGATTTATAACTCCATGGTGTAGTTATAACATTTTGTAAACTAGAAAACTGAGAAAGTGATTTTGTGTGACATTTCCAGTCAAGTATATGTAGTGCTGCAGCCTGGAAGAAACCTTTTAGTGCAGACTATCATAGAGAAATACTAATTCATTCTCTCCAGCAGGTGGTGCAAAGTATTAACTTCTCCCCCCTCCCACCCTCCTACTCCACCAACAAATCTAGTAATGCATTCAAACTATTATATATATAGTGTATAAATTTAGGCAATATTTTCACATTCTGTTTTAGGGGTAGAAAAGTGTTGAATCTGTTCATTTTTTCATAGCTAATCCTTGTTATTTCTGGGATTTTTTTGCCATTTATTTGCTTGGAATATAGCATCTTGATATATTTGTAGATAGTTACATCCAGTACCTATCAAAGATACAATTTTATATCATTTGCCGGTCTATCTGGTATTTCTCCAGGGCTTGTCAGTGTGTAAAATGTGCTAGATTATAATAGATCAAAACATATACCAGGGCATTGAAATGAAACACCAGTAAATCTAAATTGAAATTCTAGGCTTGAATCTCAATCTAAATGACTAGATTGTATTTGTGATCAGTTCTTGGCGGATTGAGTAGAGTGCCTTACTAAAATCAACTCTGTGCTCTTTGAGTATTTAATATAATAATAATATTCAGAAGTATATTGAAGTAGTAATGCCTAACCACTAGCCATTTGATGATGATGATGATGATGATGATGATGATGTTGTTGGTCATCTGGTCCAACCCCATGCTCTGGCAGGAAACCCTATACCATTTCAAAGAAATGGCTGTCCAGACTCTTCTTAAAAACTTCCAGTGTTGGAGCATTCACAGCTTCTGGAGGCAGGTTGTTCCACTGATTAATTGTTCTAACTGTCAGGAAATTTCTCCTTAGTTCTAGGTTGCTTCTCTCTTTGGTTAGTTTCCACCTGTTGCTTCTTGTCCTGCCTTCAGGTGCTTTGGAGAATAGCTTGATTTCCTCTTCTTTGTGGTAGCCCCTGAGATATTGGAACACTGGTATCATGTCACCCCTTGTCCTTCTCTTCATTAACCAAGACATACCCAATTCCAGCAACCATTCCTTATATATTTTAGCCTCCAGTCCCCTAATCATTTTTGTTGCTCTTCTCTGCACTCTTTCTAGAGTCTCAACAACTTTTTTACATTGTGGTGATGACCAAAACTGGATGCAGTATTCCAAATGTGGCCTACCAAGGCATTGTAAAGTGGTATTAACACTTCACATGATCTTGATTCTATCCCTCTGTTAATGCAGCCTAGCACTGTGTTGGCTTTTTTGGCAGCTGCAGCACACTGCTGGCTCACATTTAAGTGATTGTCCACTAGGACTCCAAGTTCCCTCTCACAATTGCTATTATTGAGCAAGGTACCACCTATACTGTATCTGTGCATTTGATTTTTCTTGCCTAAATGTAGAACCTTACTTTTTTCACCATTGAATTTCATTTTGTTAGATAGCGCCCAATGTTCAAGTCTTGTCAGTTGCATGTGGTATAATGCATAAATGCTGCTATGTACCTCTAAAGATTGGGAAACAAAAGATTGTCTGTGGGAGTGTCTATGACCCATTATTTCATGTTTTGAGTTCAATTTTTTTCTTGACTTTTTATTGGCTGGTAGCCTTAATCTCTTCCTGCATCACTGCCATATGATTTAGCGATTTCTTGTTCCTTTCACAATTTAGAACTAGAGATCCACATGATTTAGTAGAGCAGGATGAAGTATACCTTCCTTGGGAAGGTAGAGATAGAATCCAGGGGAGAAGTGAAGAACCTTTTAAGTTTTTTGTTACAATAAATCCACCTTTCTCAAAATATTATTTTCAAGGGAAGGTATGTACATTGAGATTACACTAAAGGGAGGTTTTATGTAAAAATAATTGTTTCTAGTGTAATCTTTACTGGTTCCTGCATATCCAGCATTTCTTTTTTAGTCCAATGGGTTGGATCATATTTTTTGCCTTTTGTTTCTACTTTTTCTAAATTTTGTCCTCTCCATCTACCTACATCTCCCTTCTTTGTTCTGCGGATATAGGCTTAATTAGACCAGACCTTCAGCTTGGCTAAGCACTTACATTATCTTTTATTGTGATATTGTGCCATTTTCCAAGCATTGTTCAAGCCTTCAGCATGGGTTTGGCCTCTACCTTTCAGTAGGCAAGCAGTGCCATGTTTTTTATGCTTAATATGCTTAATCTGAAATGTCCTCAGAAGGCTTTCAATTCTTAAAGGCTTGAAGGGCCTTTGGAAGGGTATAATCATTATCTTACAATCCTATATTAAATGTGGTTGGGGAGTCCTTCAATGTTTCTCAAGCCCCAGAAATACCTGCCATTGTAGTGTTTGGGCAGGAGAACGGATGGATAATAATTTTTCTAATCTGTCTATCTCCATCTCATTTATAGTAATCAAAAGCGTAACTCTGTTTTGTTGCAGAATATTTGAATTATTATCTTCAATAGACCAGCTAGTTGGGATACTGTATTTATTAGTGAGTAAAGCTCAGCAGAAATCACCAGTTTATTTTCTATTGCCTTCTATACTTATTTCCCCAGTTCCTTTACATCTGCATTTGTAATCTTATGGTACTTCTTATTTTGAAACTCCAGTACTTTCTCCTAGGAATTTTCTTTCTACAATCCTATCATGTACTTCTGAAAGAGAAGTTTAAGCTCGTCTTCTTCTTGCTGGCTGCCAATAATTGTTGATAAACTGAGATGGGTCTTTATGTAACCAGCCGTGTGTTGTCTGGAGGTGGAGGGTCAAAATAATCTAGATGGCAGTCTAGATACTAGAATTGAAGCCCACACTTCTGTAGCTGCTTGCAATGTCAACATATATAAAGAGAGGCAGAGCTTTGATCTCACAATCTCAACTCATCATGCCATTTTTAAAATTTCTGCTCCTGTATCCAATATGTGTTGATGACAGTAGTATGCATTTTTTAGTCGCTGGGTCAAAATCAGCATTGAAAGGGAGTTCAATTCTCTTTTCTTTCCCAGTGCCTAATTGCAAGTTATTTTCTAAAGGTGAAAGTTCTTCACATTCCCAGTCAAGCTGTATGTATTTGTCAGAATTACAAAAATGTGACTCACTTATCCAGTCACTGGTGTTCATTTATTACAGTACAATTGAGTCACTTAAGGAGCAGGTTTCTTCTTTGCTGTACTACAAAATCGACAAGTAACTAAATTGCATGACACATTGCTACATAATATCATAGTCAGTTATATATTGATATACATTCTTATTCATTTGTATTATAAACTTTCCATTTAAATTTAGTTAAACAGAAAACATTAGAATGCTGTAGCCAGTATAATTATAAGCCCCAGCAATTTATAACTAGGATATGTATTGCATTCTATATAGTCTTCAGTTAATATTAGAATTAGGACAATAGGGGATGTCTGTGTATGAGGCTGTATATATTCTGGATAGAAATAAGGATAGGTAATCCATATTTTTAATAATAATCTTCCTTGTAAAGATAAGCTTAGTTAGTTCCAATCCCAACATCTTGAGTTATTTTTTTGATTTTGGGGAACTACAACCATATTTGCCCACATCTGCCACAGGATTGGCTTTCAAGAATCTCAGCACATCTTCCTTCAACAGGATGCTTATTATTCCTCAGGTCCAAAATCTCAACCCTGTCCATGCAGATTTGAACAACCATATCAGCACAGATAGATA